AGTGAAACTCAAAAATATTTTTGAATCATTTCATCATGTCACAAATATTTTATATCTGATTAATTGAAACTACTTTTTTTAAGTTACCAAAATCTTGTAGATTTTTAACCAGAATCTCCTTTTCATCATATATTTTCTTTGTCGATTAGCATCTGGAATGAACAGTCTTAAAAAATATAGAGTTAATGTAAATCTTTTTGCTTTATTTTGAGGCCAGATACCGCCACACGCTTTTTTTTCACACCCACTCACAACAGTCGTCTATGTTTTTGTAATAATTAGAAGTCTTTTATTTCCATTTCACTCATTTTCTTGATTCTTTTTCTATTAGGCCTGAGTGGTTAAGCACTTATTTATATACAGTAATAATAATTTTAGGCCACCCTGTCTTATTTTTTTCTCTTGGCCTCGTTGACTTGTTTCTAATTTTTTTTTTTTGTGTCTCCATTTATATGGCAGAGAATTACATTTATTTAATTGATTTATTCTTCAATGATTTTTCAGAACCAACTAAACCTTGTCAACCAAACCCATGTTTGAATGGTGGAAGATGCACACCAGATGGTTTTGGTGGATACAGTTGTGCTTGCTTCAGACTATATTCAGGCAAAAATTGTGAAATTGGTTAGTACTTGATATCTCTGTTTTATTTTGTTTATTGAATAAATTAAGTACAATACAAAAACACTGGGTAGGAATTCCGGAAAGATGCCAAAATCTCAAATTGGATTTAGACATGAGATAAAAATAGACGTCTTGTGCAATCTAACTCGTGGCATGGAATCCATGTCAAATGAGACAATCTGATATACGAGGTGGGGCTAAAATGAAACGGGACTGTTGTCACAGATTGCGCAACACGATTAACCATCGGTAATCAACACTTTTGCAGTGTGGCGTAATATGTGTTCTTTGTTCAACAGCTGTTTTGATACGATATCACAATTATTTTTGCTTCCAGGATCCATAAGTGAATGTGTTAGCTTTCTTGTTGAAAAAAAATGCTGTGCGAGGTCTGATTGAGTTTTTTGGCGATAGGGGGTTCAATTACAGAATGACGATTGAGCAAAGAATTAACATTAAATTTTGTGTCAAACTTGGAAAAATGCATCTCAACTCGGCATGCATTCAATCGTTGAGCTTTCTGCTCCTCAGTCAACTCAAGAGCCTTTGGCATCATTTTGGCACACACCTTTCGCATTCCCAAAGTGTCAACCAAAATGGTGCGGACCGTTTCTTTGTCCATCCCGATTTCGTTGGCAATGATGCGAATTGTTAAGCGACGGTCACTGCGAACCAACTGCCAAACCTTTTCGATGTTGGTATCAGTAGTGGAAGTGCAAGGCCTCCCTGACCTCGGATCATCCTCCACATCCTCCCTGCCTTCCACAAATCGCTTGTGCCATTCAAAAACTCTTGTTCTGGACCTGGAAGAATCTCCATAAACATCACGCAACATCTGCAAAGTCTCAGTCGCCGTTTTTCCAAGTTTGACACAAAATTTAATGTTAATTCTTTGTTCAGTCGTCATTCTTTAATTGAACCCCCTATCGCCACAAAACTCAATCAGACCTCGCACAGCATTTTTTTTCAACAAGAAATTAATCACTTTCACTTATGGATCCTGAAAAGCAAAAATAATTGCGATATTGTGTCAAAACAGCTGTTAAACAAAGAACACATATTACGCCACACTGCAAAAGTGTTGATTACCGATGGTTAATCGTGTTGCGCAATCTGTGACGTCAGTCCCGTTTCTTGTTATTAGCCTTACCTGGTAGCGACATAATCTGTCTCCTATGATGTATCATACACTTCGTACTTTAACATAAAGTTGTTGATTTTAAGCTAAAATGGTCTTATTTTTGTACCTTTCATCTTATATTTCCACTGATGTCTATGTCTAGAATAATCAATTTAGAATAAAAATAGAGTAACTGTAGATCACTTTTTTTTTGATGGCAGAACCTGTCACATGCACTGCAACTATTTACAAGGACTGCCTGGATGTTTATAATGATTTGTTCTTGTGTTTCCATTTCACTTCATTTATGTGTTTTTATATAATATTTGGCTGAGCACTTTTTAATATACAGATTTACTTTATTAGACTATGCTCGCCTCTTTGTTTTCTTTTCAACTCGTTTACTTGTTTGTGATCTTTTTGTGTTCTGTGTTTCCATTTTTTTTAGCAGAGAAGTAAATTTATAGTAGGATTGATTTATTCTCAAATGATTTTTCAGAACCAACTAAACCTTGTCAACCAAACCCATGTTTAAACGGCGGAAGATGCTCACCAGATGGTGAGGGTGGTTACAGTTGTGCTTGCTTCAGACTTTATTCAGGCAAAAACTGTGAAATTGGTTAGTACTTGCTTTCTTTATATGTCATTTTGTTTATTAAATTAATGAAGCACAATACAAAAAAAACTGGGTAGGAATACAGTAAATTTGATACCTCCTCAAATTAGGTCAAGTAATGTAATTAAAAATTACAACATATGCAATCTCACACTGTGTCACGGAATATATGTCAAATGAAACAGTCTGATATAGTCCTAGCTATATAATCTGTTTTCTATAATATATTTGTATTTAAATTTGGTTGTTTATACTTGAAATGTTCCAAGTCCTCTGATTATTTTCATGCAAGAATGGTTAATTTTATTGAAATATCTAATGCACATTTCTCTAGTTATGCTAAGTTAAAATGGCGAAATTGAGTGAAACTCAAAAATATTTTTGAATCATTTCATCATGTCACAAATATTTTATATCTGATTAATTGAAACTACTTTTTTTAAGTTACCAAAAGCTTGTAGATTTTTAACCAGAATCTTCTTTTCATCATATATTTTCTTTGTCGATTAGCATCTGGAATGAACAGTCTTAAAAAATATAGAGTTAATGTAAATCTTTTTGCTTTATTTTGAGGCCAGATACCGCCACACGCTTTTTTTTCGCACCCACTCACAACAGTCGTCTATGTTTTTGTAATAATTAGAAGTCTTTTATTTCCATTTCACTCATTTTATTGATTTTTTTTCTATTAGGCCTGAGTGGTTAAGCACTTATTTATATACAGTAATAATAATTTTAGGCCACCCTGTCTTCTTTTTTTCTTTTCGCCTCGTTGACTTGTTTGTAATTTTTTTTGTTTTGTGTTTCCATTTATATGGCAGAGAATTACATTTATTTAATTGATTTATTCTTGAATGATTTTTCAGAACCAACTAAACCTTGTCAACCAAACCCATGTTTGAATGGTGGAAGATGCACACCAGATGGTTTTGGTGGATACAGTTGTGCTTGCTTCAGACTATATTCAGGCAAAAATTGTGAAATTGGTTAGTACTTGATATCTCTGTTTTATTTTGTTTATTGAATAAATTAAGTACAATACAAAAACACTGGGTAGGAATTCTGGAAAGATGCCAAAATCTCAAATTGAATTTAGACATGAGATAAAAATAGACGTCTTGTGCAATCTAACTTGTGGCATGGAATCCATGTCAAATGAGACAATTTGATATACGAGGTGGGGCTAAAATGAAACGGGACTGACGTCACAGATTGCGCAACACGATTAACCATCGGTAATCAACACTTTTGCAGTGTGGCGTAATATGTGTTCTTTGTTTAACAGCTGTTTTGACACAATATCGCAATTATTTTTGCTTTTCAGGATCCATAAGTGAATGTGTTAAATTTCTTGTTGAAAAAAAATGCTGTGCGAGGTCTGATTGAGTTTTTTGGCGATAGGGGGTTCAATTGCAGAATGACGATTGAGCAATGAATATCTATCTCTCTTTTATTTAGTTCATTGAATGAATTAAAGTACAATACAAAAACACTAGGTAGGAATTCCGGAAAGATGCCAAAATCTCAAATTGGATTTAGACATGAGATTAAAATAGACGTCTTGTGCAATATAACTCGTGGCATGGAATCTATGTCAAATGAAACAATCTGATATAGCGACATAATCTGTCTATTATGATCTATCATACACTTCGTACATTAACATAAAGTTGTTGACTTTAAGCTAAAAAGGTGTTACTTTTATAGCCTCCACCTTATATTTCCACTGACGTCTACGTCTAGAATAATCAATTTAAAATAAAAATAGAGTTACTGTAGATCACTCTTTTTTTGATGACAGAACCTGTCACATGCACTTCAACTATTTACAAGGACTGCCTGAATGTTTATATTGATTTGTTCTCGTGTTTCCATTTCACTTCATTTATGTGTTTTTATATCATATTTGGCTGAGCACTTTTTAATATACAGATTTACTTTATTAGACTATGCTCGCCTCTTTGTTTTCTTTTCAACTCGTTTACTTGTTTGTGATTTTTTTGTGTTCTGTGTTTCCATTTTTTTTAGCAAAGAAGTAAATTTATAGCAGGATTGATTTATTCTCAAATGATTTTTCAGAACCAACTAAACCTTGTCAACCAAACCCATGTTTAAACGGCGGAAGATGCTCACCAGATGGTGAGGGTGGTTACAGTTGTGCTTGCTTCAGACTTTATTCAGGCAAAAACTGTGAAATTGGTTAGTACTTGCTTTCTTTATATGTCATTTGATTTATTAAATTAATGGAGCACAATACAAAAACACTGGGTGGGAATACTGTAAAGTTGATACTCCCTCAAAAAATGGGGCAAGTAATGTAATTAAAAATTATAACATATGCAATCTCACACTGTGTCATGGTATATATGTCAAATGAAACAGTCTGATATAGTCGTAGCTATATAATGTGTTTTCTATAATATATTTGTATTTAAATTTTGTTGTTTATACTTAAAATGTTCCAAGTCCTCTGATTATTTTCATGCAAGAATGGTTAATTTTATTGAAATATCTAATGCGCATTTCTCTAGTTATGCTAGGTTAAAATGGCGAAATTGAGTGAAACTCAAAAATATTTTTGAATCATTTCATCATGTCACAAATATTTTATATCTGATTAATTGAAACTACTTTTTTTAAGTTACCAAAAGCTTGTAGATTTTTAACCAGAATCTCCTTTTCATCATATATTTTCTTTGTTGATTAGCATCTGGAATGAACAGTCTTAAAAAATATAGATTTAAGGTAAATCTTTTTGCGTTATTTTGAGGCCAGATACCGCCACACGCTTTTTTTTCGCACCCACTCACAACAGTCATCTATGTTTTTGTAATATTTAGAAGTCTTTTATTTCCATTTCACTCATTTTCTTGATTCTTTTTTTATTAGGCCTGAGTGGTTAAGCACTTATTTATATACAGTAATAATAATTTTAGGCCACCCTGTCTTCTTTTTTTCTTTTCGCCTCATTGACTTGTTTGTAATTTTTTTTGTTTTGTGTTACCATTTATCTGGCAGAGAATTACATTTATTTAATTGATTTATTCTTGAATGATTTTTCAGAACCAACTAAACCTTGTCAACCAAACCCATGTTTGAATGGTGGAAGATGCACACCAGATGGTTTTGGTGGATACAGTTGTGCTTGCTTCAGACTATATTCAGGCAAAAATTGTGAAATTGGTTAGTACTTGATATCTCTGTTTTATTTTGTTTATTGAATAAATTAAGTACAATACAGAAACACTGGCTGGGAGTTCGGGAAAATTACTTAAATCTCAATTTAAATTTAGAGATGATAATAAATTTGACAAATTGTGCAACCTAAATTGCTGGCATGAAATATATGTCAAATGAAACAATCTGATATAGCGACATAATCTGTTTCCTTTTAATCTAATTTTTTGTAAATCCTATTTTTTCTAATTCTGTGGTTGAATTTATGCAAAATGGATATATTTTAAAGAAATATCCTTATTTCTGATAATGCCAGATTAAAATATTGGAATTGGTTGAGACTAAAAAAACATTTCAAATCAATTCATCATGTTCTAAATTTTTTATTCTTATTTAAAAATCATACATTTCGCATATCATTTGTTGATTTTGGGCTAAAATGGTCTTATATCACACTTTTTTTTAAATTGTTCATTCCACAAATTGAACAAATAGTGTTACTGTAGATCACTTTGTTTGTTTTTCTGGCAGAACCTGTCACATGCATTGCAGCTATTCACAATAACTGCCTAGATGCTTACCGTATATTGATTTATGTTTCAGTTTCCATTTCACTACTTTAATGTGTGTAACTACTAACATAATATTTTATATTAATCAAATAGAATTGAATGAGACCTAATCCCATTATTCAAATTTTAAAATTACGCAGGAATTTGTCCTCCAACAATGGTATATTCGAATTGTGCTCCATCTTGTCCTCGATCCTGTCTAGACAAATATAATCTTCCACCAAAAGCATGTACACTAGAATGCAGGCAAGCATGTGTATGTCAAGATGGCATGATTCTATCTGACAAGGACAGCACTCAATGTGTAAAACCGTCAGAATGTCCAGGTATGATTTGAATATAATCATAAAGGTTTATTTTTAATATGAAAAAGAGGTCAGGAGGTCACTGAATGTTCTTTTGATTTTTTTCATGTTCCAGACTAATATATACATTTTTCAAAGGTAAACAGTTAAACTATGACTTCCTTGTTTACAACAGTTTAGTATGTTGCATTATCAAATTTTCCCCTACTGAAGTAGTGGGGACACAAATGAAAATAATAGATTGAATAAATTGAGATTGAATCTAAAAATATGGCCTAATCCAATTATTAGTTTTGAAACATTTTAAATAACAAACTGTTTAGTGAATGTTTATCAATACAATCAAATTCAAAATCTTGTTGAATATATGAGCAATGATGTATCGTTTTAATTGTTCATGCAATAGCAATATCACATGCTGGCAGGAATGATTAATTTAAATAACAATCACACAATTCGACATTTGTCAGAAGAAGTATTTGCCAAATGCAGAGAAAATAAATTTATGGTTATAGTGCTAAGGAAGTAAGGCTGTTTTATCGACTTTGGTTACCTCACACATTCCAAGATAAATGTCAAATATTTTTTATAGAAAATTTTTTCATTTTTATCATATTCACAGCTCGAGATGTTTGCAGAGCATGGGGAGATCCGCACTATATTCAGTTTGAACAAAGCAGCACTTATGATTTTATGGGATTATGCACATATCTGATGTCTGAAACTTGTGATCTTGATAAATCCAATCCTCGATGGTTTTCTGTTCTTGCCGAAAATGAGAAACGTTTCAATAGAGAAGGTGTATCTTGGGTCAAAAATACCCAAATACTTTTAGAAGGGGGAAAAATTAACATCACTCTTGCAAAAGACGAAAAAGAAAAGTTTGCTTTGGTATGTACCAGCATGTTGATCAGGATGTTTATATTTCAATTAAAAATAACAATATTATTGATTTTGTAGATCAATGGCAAAGAAGTCGTTGAAGCAACCACTCAGACTTTTACTTTGAGAAATTCAGGAACGTCTATTAAAGTAACAACAGATTGTGGAGTTGAAATCACGTACAATGGGAATGCAGTAATTATAAGAGTCCCACCTGCATACAAAAATATGGTAAATCTCACATTTTTAAGAATATAATATATATATAATATTATAATGTATAAAACGATAAATTTATACCTGAATGGCGAATCTTATACACTGGTAACTCTACTTATGAAATTAATTTGTTCCCGAAGCCCTTCCGGAAGCATGAAATTTTGTAGAAACAAAGTAGGAGCGCACTTTACCCTAAAAATGCTCTAATTCATTCTAAGCCCTCTAAAACATATTATTGGTATAAATTATAAATAATGGTTAAAACCTGTAACAAATACATGTTAGAATTAGATTACTGCTTAATAAATAGAAAAGGTACTCATGAAAAGAAGAAGGAACAGAGAAATAACGAATAAAAACTGCGAACAGTATGTTTGTTTACCCTTGGTGTTGGCAGACTAGGCTGGGCTAAGCAAAGACCGCAGAGAGTGGGAGGACGGCGGTCAGAGGGTCATAAGACAATTGGATGGCATGAAATTGCTGGGCATCAGCCAATGGCAGAGCCGAGCTGCCCATCCGGCAGCGCGTTTTTTAGATTTTTGACTTTTGCCCTTTTGTATTTACAAGCATCTTTTGTTATTCGGATCAATATTTCAATATTCAATTTTGTATTCGGGGTCTTTCGTTAGTGGAGGTTCTACTGTATTATTAAAAATATTTCCCAACATATAGCTCTGTGGATTATGTGGAGACTATAATGGTGATTCATCAGATGATTTAAAGATGAGAGATGGCATGATGGCGGAGGATTTCAATGAATTTGGTGATAGTTATCAAGTTGGTGAATGTGGGAAGAAGACTCCTCCTTCTATTGATTGTCCTAAAGAAGGAGACAACAGATGGTCAGTAACCCAAACTGATTGTATTTTTAAACTTTCGTGTAATATGAAAAAATGTTTTTTGTTCAATTTAATTCCTGAACACTGAAAGCTGGTTCATCAGCTTGCTCAAAATCATTTTCCTAATCACAGATTATTACCGGTATGTCTTTACCTAATATTAGAAAGACAAGTATATGTTTTAAAATTAGCCAATAACTTGAGGTATATATGAATATGGGCCGGAGTGTGGGGGTAACTTTTCTCAGAAGCGTTAACTCTTCTCAGAGAGTTAAAATTAATTGGAGCGTTAGATTTTCATTCGAGTGCGCGCACTCCCATTATTTGGTAAAATTTTATCGGTGCCACCATAATTTATTGTTCAGTCTCATTCATCTGAGTTATGTAAAATGTGTGTTGATTTTCCTTCAGGTCAACCAATGAATATTGTGGAATTCTTCTCACTGATGAATATTTCTTATCTTGTGCAAATGGTGAACTACATTATCAAAGTTGTGTGTTTGATATGTGTGCAACAGATGGAAACAAAGATGTTTTACAGGAGGTAAGTAATGTAAACCTAATTTTATTTAAATTTTTTTTTAATGTTTATTGTGAGAGTGACATGTGCAATTGTATCCTAACAGGGAAGTACTGAATGTAGGTTTATCTGGATTAAATATCCTATGTTCGTTTATTTTCAGACTTTCTGAATTAATTGTAATTGTATACATAAATATGAAAAGCGAGAAATTAATTGTTTAAAGTCTGTATTTTTGACTTCCGCTTACAAGATTTTCATTCAATATTTATTTCCTTGTTTATTTATTTTTACAGGATCTAATATTTGCAACTTATGACTGTCGTAATCCTGATCCTGACATACCAAGTCCTCCATGTGACTACCGAAAAAGATTTGGTATTGCTATGATGTCATGCCCAGAGCATAGTTCATATGAAGGTTGTGCAAGCGCATGTCCTAATACATGCCAAAATCCTCGAGCCTCAGAGAAGTTAGTTGATGTTTTATTCGTTTTTGTTCTTTAGTGATCGGTAAGTATGTATGCATTCCTATATGATATGCATTTTCAACAATTTATTTATACAGTTGTCCCCTCCCGGATGTTGAAGATTGTGTATGCAATGAGGGTTATGTGCGAGAAGGTGTTCGATGTATACAAAGGAAAGATTGTGGATGCATCAGGGATGGATATTACTATAAAGCAGGTATTTCATCATTCATCCACATTATTGAATTTTAAATTGGCTATATGTGACTGAATACCTACTTGTGTTCAGGAACTGGAATAATAAATGAAAAAGACAATACAGATTGCCTGTGTATGCGCGGAAACTTCATATGTGATTGTATTGATGGATATTCATTCAATGATGATGGAACATGTACAAGTCAGTATGAATAATCTTTGAATAATTTTCAATAAATATACATTTTACAACTTTCCTGATTTTCTTGTTCATAATTTCAAGTCATTTCTAAGTCAAAATATATGATTTAGACCTTCATTTTATTATTAAACATAGAAATATGCTCTCCACCAAAAGAATTTACAACATGTGCAACACAGTGCCCAAGGACTTGTGACGATCCAATGCCACCCACTTGTACAAAGGAATGTAATTTGGACATTCAGTGTGTTTGTTCACAAGATTTTGTACAAATATCTAAAGATGATTCAACATGTGTGCGATTTGAAGATTGCAAACAAAGTTTGTAGATCATTTTTTGCATCTAATATTGTAAAGCCTATTTTAGGAAGAAATTGGAAAGAATAATCTTGTAGAGCTTCACTTTACCCTTTGGTCACACATTATTAGGATAGGATAGGATTTACATATTTATCTAGGGTGAGAAAAGCTGATATGATGACTTAATCATATGGCGAACCACGGCCTCTCGTCTGGTTACCAGTCCAGGTAGGGTATGGGATTAGTTAGCCAGTTACTTGTTTTTGGAAGCATGGACTTGATGGTGCAGGAAGCCGTTGTTGTCCAGTTGTTACGTAAACAACCATATGCCGGCGAAGAGTCCAGCAATCCTCTCCCACATAAAATCATCCCCGCATAGGATTCAAACCTGCGAATCCACAAAGGAGAATCAGAGATGTGGTGGCGAGCGCATTCCTAACGTTAGCACGATGTGCCACACCGCCGAGCCTACACAATAAACTTTAAAATGCATCGAGTGTAATTATTGTCAATGATAATAAGCTTTAACCTAATTTTGCAATGAAAACCTAAAGTGATTTTGAAACCTTGAAAGTGATTTTCTAAACCTTGGAAATCACTTTCAAGTTTTATTCTTGTTTACAATTTGACGATCCATCCTACCATTTATGATCGGGCAACGGATTCACATTTTTTGCTTTTAACAGTGCATCAGAGGGTCACATATTAGATGACCCACTGAAAATGCTTTTTATCAAAGTTGATATCAATCCAAATTTAATAAAATTCATTAATTAATTTGCACATTGCAATTCTTGGGTTTCTCAAATATTTTTTAGTTGTTCTTTGCCGGTTGAATATTTGTTTATTTAAAGGTGGACAATGTTATTCTATCAATAAAAATGACCGTTTTCAATTCCGGCTAGCAGCACACTCTGAAAGAAATGTATTTGACACACATCTTGAAGCAGCTTATTTGTTAATGGTCTTGGAAAGTTAGAAAAAAGTTGTAATATTTTATCCAATTTTATAAACTATATTCATCTTTACCTATTAGAATGCAAATTTGATTCATGTGATGAAAATGCAATCTGCTCGGAAACAGACGATGGAATAGAATGTGATTGTTTAGAAGGATATGAAGGCGATGGAAAAACCTGCACAAGTATGGTATTTGTGTATATATTTTAACTGCAAACGTATTTGGTATCAGAAGATCATGGTGAATCTTTTTTTACTATCTAATGATAGTCACTCATAATGATATTGCACCGCTACGGAACTATTGTTCATGAGGGGCTTGCATATCATCTTTCGAATTTGTGCATTTAGCCAATGAGAACGTAAATAGTTTAAAAGCCAGTATAACTTGTGTGATTGACTCTTAATCCAAATCTTTTCTTTAAAATATATCATCGTACTCAAAAACTATTTTTAACTTCTGGCTGTATCAATAGTGTTTTTAAAATGAACTAGTTTCTACCTAGTTTTTTTTGAATAAAATTTTCCTAAAGAATACTGTTATTAACAAACTTTCAAGCATGTACACTGCCTTGACAAACATCAAACTTCTTGTACTATTTCTTTATGAAGGAATATATTTTAGGTAAATTTTTGAAACATCATTTTTTCTTTCCTTTTCAATGCTAATATTAGGTGTTTCTGTGAAGCATTTCATCTCTCACAAATAATTTTGATCACTCCATAGAAATTACAATGTATAGTTTATATTCTTGTTTATACCACTTTAACCCATTACAACAAGGATAATGATTTGATCGACACCAAATTTTTGGTAATGAATAATATGTTCTTCTTGAAACTCACCAAGCCTCAATATGCAACCTATGCCTAAAACCACTAATTTGAACTGTTTCAGTTTAAATGTGTATATCGGTCTTTCTTCTATATTTTCTAACATAAAGTCATCTTTAATAATGGGTTTGATACATCAAGGATTTTTTTGCTACTATCATCACTTTAATTTCGTCTACCAATCAGATCATGGATCAATATAAATCATTTTAAAAGAATAAAGTCACTTTTTTGTATAAAATTCATATCAATTATTTCAATTTGATTTGAAAACAATGTTGGCGAAACTAAGCATGGCTTTAAGATAAGGAACTTAGGACATCAAAAGGACATGTGTAGTGTAAATCAGTATTATCGTAACAAACATCCATCAATTCATGTTATAGGAAAGGGAAATACTAGAATTTTGGATAGAAAGGAATATTTTGAAAAACGATTATTATAGAGTCATTCCACATTCATAGAGACTTGAAGCCATGAATAACAAAAAACGTGGCTCCTGGCGCGTACTCGTCTATGATATAAGTAGACATTTTGATCAGAACGACTTTTTATCTTCATCTTATTTAGAATATATTTAGCCCCATTCATTTTTTCTTATAGTACCTCCAAGGCTCTGTAGACCCAATCCTTGTAGTAATGGAGGGCACTGTATATGCTTGCAGTCATATTCTGGCAAATGATTAAACTTCATTAAGAATATTTGCTATAGAAAATTATGTCTTCCCATCTTTATTGTCCAATACTCACATTTTCCATTTCATTCCATTCCATTTTATTTCAATTATCAAAACTTTTAATTTGATATCAACATATTCTCAATGTTGATCTTGATCCCATAATGTGTTTCACTGATTAACTTATAGCCACTTCAGTAATTTTTTTCTCATTGATAGTTTCATTACAGAGAGTTCTGTCAGAGTTATTTTTGTCACTTCAAAAAACGAACAATTAACAACAAAATATTTGTAATAAATGAATATTGACATGACTGGTGCTGTGAAGGACAGAATGATCTGTCATCGAGTATAAGTATAAGTATAACTTCATTTCGACTCCATAATCAGCATAACAATACATTTGACAGATAAAAACAAATAAATAAAAACTGATTAGGAAATCAGGGGAGCAAACGAAACCTTAGATAAGGTTTATAACGTACAAAATATAAGATGGAAGGTTTTGCCAAGAGGAAGTGGTACGAGTTTACTCACCTAAAATTATTAAGTTATTCCACACATGCTCACATGCACCCACCAGCCACTCACACACACACACAACCACTGAGAAGTTATAATAAGTGAGAAATAAGAGTCTACAGCACCTTTAGATAAAAAAAAATTAATAGAAGAAACAAATAAGTTCAAGTTATACACATTCTAATATGCATCATTTACATTTTTTTTTACTCAGTTCCTGATAAACCATGTGAACCAAATCCATGCAAAAATGGTGGAAGATGTGTTCCCTTTGTTGGATTCGGTGACTCATACATATGCTCATGTCCTAAAAGATTTTCTGGAAATAATTGTGAAAATGGTAAGTTGTTACGGTATATACCCAGACTCACTTCTAACATATCTAGTTTATAAAACATTACTGCTTACTCTGTTGCTTTCACTAAAACATGTATCTTTGAATGTAAAAACTTATCCTGTTTTTGTTTTTGTTCAGAATTTATCTGTCCGCCTGGAAGAACTTATAGTGATTGCGAGCCATGTTCAGGCACATGTGATGAACCTAATTTGTCATATTTGTTGCCAGCTACAGGAGAAACTCCTAAATGCTCCAGAATTTGTCGAGCAGGAGATTTTTGTAGCTGCCCAGATGGATTTATACAAAAAAGTGAAACAGATATTACTTGCGTTGCAATTTCAACATGCATAGGTACCAGTAAGTTTTATATTTTTTCTATCGCATGAACATGAAAGACCATAAAAGTTAATTATGCATATCATCAGAGTTACTAATTATTTCAAGGGTCAAACCTGTGATATCGCCTTCTAGATAAAATAAGACAAATATTAGTTTGGTAGTTACAATTCCTTATAGCAAGCGCTATAGCAAGATATATCACTGACACTCTTTGCAAAATTTAATTACCTTTGGATATGAAACTCTATTGTTTCAACAACTGTTAAAAAATAACTTGGATTTTTTTAGTAATGATTGGATTTGGCTGACCTGACACTTGACTTTGACATTTTCAACTTTATGTTGCAATTCAGTGGCTGCTAGATTTAAACTAAATAGTAAAATATGATATTACCGTATTTGGCTTTTATTCAAAATATGATGAACGCTGTGGTATTTTGTCTTGCTCTTTATATTCAGTAAAAGTATCACCTGAACAAATGGAAATTTTTGCAAGCCTTTAGATAAAATGAAATGAATTAATGAATTAATTTAAGTAATTTTCATATTTAGGTCCAAAGGATCCATGTGAGAATAACCCATGTAAAAATGGTGGGTTATGTTTTGTTGCGAATGACGAATATGGCTGTGCCTGTCCACGGCTGTATACTGGGAAAAATTGTGAAATTGGTTTGTTTAATATTTTTATATTTATTAATTTATCTGAAACATCGAATAACTTTTATTTTTGATTTTATTTTTGCTTCATTTTCAACGAATATTTGTAAAAGCATCAAGCATAGTTCTTGTAAATATTTATAGGACCTGAAAAAGCATGTGACCCAAATCCATGTCAAAATGGTGGAGAATGTTTACCTGCAATGGGGGATTCAAGGTTTTACACATGCAGATGCACAGATGGATTCTCAGGGAAACATTGTGAAGTTGGTGAGTCTATGATTTTGGCTACGGAACTGATGTAAAACAATTCAAAAATATTCAGACATATCATATATTCACAACATTTTTGTTATGTGTTCACATTCAGCCAAGTGTATTGCTCCAAAGGTATATACAAACTGTGCATCAGCTTGTCCCACATCATGTCTTGATAAATACGATATTCCACGAAAAGCTTGTCCAACAGTGTGTCTGCAAGGATGTGTATGTCCAGAGGGAATGATTTTATTGGACAAGGACAGCGATGAATGTGTTAAATCTTCAGAATGTCCAAGTGAGTGATGAATATAACCTAGCAGTGCAATATTTACTGCAAAGCATTATTCACTGTTTAAAATCGTTTTCTCAATGCTGATATATAAAATCAATATTTAAAATTTATGTCTGATTATTCGATGTGATATGAATAAGGAATTTTTTTTTACAGAACGAGAAGTTTGCAGAGCATGGGGAGATCCACACTATATTCAGTTTGAGCAAAGTAGTAAATATGATTTTATGGGATTGTGCACGTATGTTATGTCAGAGTCTGTTGGATTTGAAAAATCCAGTGATAGATGGTTTGCTGTTCATGTTGAAAACGAGGAGCGTTATAACAGAACTGGTGTTTCATGGGTGAAGAATGCAAGAATACTTCTTAGTGATGGATCTATAGACATTTTCCTATCCAAAGAAGGCGCAAAGGTACCACATTACAAAATATTTATTTTTTGTTTGTTCTGAACATTTTGCATTATACTGTAAGTTTTCTTCAATTACCAAGGGCAGAATAATTGAAGAAAGTATTTATTAGCAGGAAAAATCTTTTCTGAAGACACAAGAATCTGCATTGATGTTATAGACATGAGCTCATTCCTGTATTGAATAGGGCATAGATGCAATTAATCTAGATCAATGTTTTTCAACCTTATTTGGTTCGTGTAAGACTTTTTTTTATTATAAAGTTGCTGCAGAACACAAAATTCAAGATATAAATAACAAATATTCATCTCGATTCCTGTCTCGATCAATTTTTGCATAGAAAATAATTGGCAGAAAAGGCCAATACTTTGATTCGAGTTGGAAAAAGTTTGATAAATTCATGGCTACAAAGACCTAAAGTACGATTGAAATGTTTTCAAATTAAGTTTCAAAATGAGAACATTACCTGACATTTTTTTAGTTTTTCTTCTTAAATATCTAGCGATCATGACAAGAGTGATTGATATAACCTTTCGTATGTAGTATGATCAACATTAGCAATTTACATTACATTTACATTACTCAATTTACAATTGAGTTGAAGCCAGGTCATGGTCGATACTTCATTCAGAAAGTACTAGAATACTGAAAAAGATTTCATTAAAATTGCTGAATTTTTTGTTTGTAAACTATCTTTCTGCTGATTATTATTGTTTCAAGTAATAATTCTTGTGCCATGGAGGAAATTGAAGTCTTTTTTATATTTATTGCATTTATTGCTTTGCGTTCAGTCAGGCAAACAGGAAAGTTAATATGCGATAATGGATGACAGACGTCACAATTAATCAAATGAGTAAATTTGCAACCCCAACTTTAGCATCTTTGTAAATAAACTTTTTTGATCAGCGTTTAAAATTGGTTGATGTAGTCTTTTCTTGTTTGGCCTCTACATTCTCACACCCCCATCAGCCATTTTTCAATAATATTTTGTATTGATTACTGTGTTTATAATAACAGACTTGAGTGCTTTGATTTACTGGAGTGTATTGTGGTAAAGTACCTTTGTGTTCGTTTATCATTAAAATTTCAGCACTCTGCGGTAATGCTTATGTGAGAGGCATTGGAAAGATCATTTTCCCTCAAAGCAGACACACATTTACACGTCCTTCTATGAGCCTATTACAAAGAATGTAATACACCATCACCAAAACAGCACCCCTATACAAACATGTGAATAATCGATAATTACTAAGTAACAAGAAGTAATTGCACAATGATTACAAGTGTGTGGTAAAGTAATCAGACCCAAACATTCACAGGCATCATTATGTCATGTAAGACTAGGCTTATTCATTCGATATCTGCTTTCACTTATAAATTACCATATGAAGTGTCAAATACAGATTGTACTCCCATATATTTTTACAGTTATTTCATGCTTGGTGAATTTCTTATTTTGTTAAACTTTATAAATTGTAGATTGTTAACTGGCATATAACGTATTTCATATGTATGTGTCTTTATATATTTTAATATATATAACAGTTCAATGGGAAAGATGTGACTGTTGTCAACCATCCAAGATTCACACTGACAGTTAATGGTAAAGCATACACCGTAACTACTGATTGTGGAGTATCAATAACATTCAATCCAAATGCAGTTATCATACGAGTGCCACCGTCCTACAAAGATCAAGTTAGTTTGGAAATATTTGGATTTCATTTCATACAATTTATATTCCAACTAGACCCTCAAGCTTGAGAAGTATAGGAATGGTGACTTGACTATTCCGATGCTGCATTCATCAAAATAATCAACAGCAATATAAACATTCAAAAATACTGATGAAAATCCAATTTATAAATTGTTTTGAACAAACCCATATTTTAATTTTATTTTGCACATTTATACCAGTTGAGCTTGGGAAGTATATGAATGCAATCTTGATTATATTAATGACCAAGCAGTCTTCATGATAATTAACCGTGATATAATTATTTAAAAATATTAGAAACCTTGCATAGAAATTTTATTGATTAATTAACCCTAGATAACCTGTAACAATTAATTTTATAGGTTCAAAAAATATATATTGTTTTAATTCCGTACGAGTAGCCTATCCATAAATTATTATCCTATTGGTGGCATTAGCGAATGTGAAAGCATGGAATATATTAAAAAATTTTAATTGTCAAAATTCAGGTTAGAGGTCTATGTGGAGATTATAATGGAGATTCATCAGATGATCTTACAATGTCAAATGGGGAAGTTACTGATAGCTGGAATGAATTTGCATCAAGTTATGTTGTTGGAAAATGTGATCAGAATATTCTCAGTCCACAACCAAAATGCACAGAAGAAGAAAAAGCTAAATGGTGAATTTCATATTATAGCACATGCAGGAAATTGACCTAACTGACCAATGCTCAGTATTTAAAATTTTTCCAATTTCTAAAATGAAGTTATTTAAAAAGGATAGACTTGAGGTGAATGAGTAAACAAAACCTATATCAAAATGATATGCTTGAAAGTTGAAACCCATATTCTTCTAATTTGTTTAGAAATACAATGTGATAGAATACAAGATTTTTACTCAACTCAAGTCGCAATTCTCTTTGCATACACATTTAAATCTGATATTAACATCACTAATACAGACTCCTACTTGAGTTATATGAAACAAACTATCTGTAACAACCAAAACAAATTTTTAATTCAACTTTGTTAAACCAAGGATCCTGATCTTCAAATGTGGCATGTGATGGAATTTAAGATAATGACCAGATGCATTTCCATAATTCCTTTTATTTTAGGAAGTTATAATTTGGAAGAATTTTTTAATAATAGTCATATATTTTATTTAACCACTTTTTTGTCCTGTTATAAATGCCAATTAGTAGAAGAATCAGAGTCAAAAAATTCAAAATAGTGAATTTAACGGGGATGGGGTGGATGGTAGGGTGAAATTAAAACAGCGTGACAAAATTCCAATTTACGATGCAGTGAGGAGTTTAAAGAACTAACAATTGGGTGTCGTTCATAGCGAACCGCTGTTCAATAAATTCCAAATTTGTGTCAAGCTCGCCTCCCTCTGCCAGATGTCGTTGGTGAATATTTTGCTCCTATTTCAAACTCTACTAATCATCTACCATTATCACTACCACTATAGTTGGCGATGTTCCCTCTTCCCTGTTTTATAAAAGAGCTAGCTTTTTGCCACAACGAAACAAATGTAACTGAACTCTAACATAAATATTATGAGCTCAGTAAGAAATATTTGCATCCAAATGCCATTCACAAACCCGAAACATATTTAGATTGTTGTACGGATATCAATGACGATTATATGCACAAAAATAAACTCACATGTAGCATCAAATAAATGTGCATGGAATGTAAAACTATTACTTGTCGTAATTTTTGGTAATCAACTCTTTTTTTATTGTCATTTAATAGGATATTTTTTCTTCTTAAGTTTGTCATAATTGCTGATTGTTTTTTGACATCGCAATCTTTCAGCCGACAACCTAATGTTGACAGCCTAATATCAATTACACTGTGAATACGCAGTCTTGATTTGAGTTAAAATACTGATTAAGTAAATCGGCAATAATGGCATTTCTACATGGTCAAATTAGTATTTCCACCTAGAATCTTGGTAAATTTTCATAAAATACATTATTATCATTATCTGGTTTAAAGTTTCTAAAATTTACATCCTAATGTTGGTAAGCTATATTAAAGCATGCTCTATTTTATTCACAAGTATTAATTATCACGCAATGGTGAACACCAAAGTTTGGTTTTTATATTTCAGGCATAAATGTGAGTTCACAACGCGACAGATGTTAAAAACAACTATTAAGGAGTGAATTCACAACACAATTAATTTCATTTTGATTTTGATTTTTTGCATCAGATTTACCCTCCCATATCATAGTTAGTAAATTACGATCCCAATTTTAGGTGAACAATATTATCATTATTGACCCCGGGATGTAGATATTTATAAAGCTGATAGTTTTCTTTTTTATGCTTAAATTTCTATTGTGTCTGTCTGTAGCATTCAATATCTATCCTTTTCATCTCTAAAGCATTGTGTTCATCATTTTATTTATCATGTCAAATTTATTTGTCATTCAATTTATATCATTTTATATTATATATATTTTGTATTAATGATTAATGATTATATATTATATATATTCTATGGAATCATATTTTACTATTCTAACAAATCACATGCTTTGGAGAACTTGTTTTTCGTTAAAAAGCATGTCTGGACTCTAAAAGTGTACAAAAATGAATAAGTCATTTGGGCTAATAAACTCTGATCTGTAAGTAAAAGTTGTGGTATTTTTGCAGATTTACGGAAATATTAGATTCATTTTTTTTATTATTACAGGTCGAAAAATACATTTTGTGGAGCAATCACCCAAGTTTCTGGTATATTTGACCAATGTAGAAGCTTGTTAGATATAAAAACCTATTTCCAAAATTGTGTATTCGATATGTGTGCAACAAAAGGAGAACTTCAAGTTTTTGAACAGGTATTATATTTTGTTTTAATGCAATTTTTAACATCAGGTAATCAGTCTAATAAAATCACTTACAGTAATTTATAGCTATAATACATTGACCAGTTAACACCAATAGATGTTTGTATGTAAGATATTTAGATTACATCTGGAAAACCATGCTAAACCATCATGTATTTACAGACAATTGAAACTTTTGTTGAGGATTGTATTAGTAAAAATGTAACTTTGTGCGGATGGAGAGAAGCACTGAATCTTCCAGTGAAATGTTATGCTCACAGTACTTACGAAAGTTGCCCAACAACTTGTCAAAAGTCTTGTGCTGATCGTTATGCTTCAACGAAGTAAGTGTTTAATGAAAATTAAATGGTCAAATTTTCTCAATTTCATATTGCATGTCAACATTATTTGTCTCTTTAGATGTGTCGTACCCCTGGCAGAAGATTGTGTATGTGATGTCGGTTATATAAAAGAAGGTGACAGATGTATCCTGGATAAGGATTGTGGTTGCTGGAGAAATGGGATGTACTATTCTAAAGGTATTGGATTTTTTTTAACATTTTATTTATTCAGAATCAAACTTTGTTGATAATTTACAATTTGACTAATCCATTCACAAGCTACTGATTTTGAGTAATTATCAATTTTTGTATGCCCCAACCCAAATATGAAATAATTTTTGGAATTTCCTAATTTAGGTTCTCGAGTAACAGATGATGATGAACACAAGACTTGTGTCTGTTTTGAATCAATCGGATTTACTTGCACATGCTTGGATGGATATATAAGAGATGGTCGGAATTGCAGAAGTAAGTCTGACATATGGCCTTCGTTATTCACTACTCGACTTTTATCGTAATAGATCATGGTGCTTGGTGTTCTTTGATTCTAAATGTTGATATAATACTCTTAAATCTAATGGTATGTTCGCCCCAAGAAGTAACATTTCTTAAATGATTGTGTAACTATGCAGCAGACCACTATGCATAAACCTACATCAATCAGTTTCGATGAGTGTTTAGCACTACAGACATTGTGTCTCTAACAAGGCATGTGGATATTCCGAAATTACATTATAGTATTTCAAAAATCTACAATATTTTATATGAAATTTGAACCAATATTTGAAATTAGGAAAGTTTGCTTTTACTCAAATTTCTTGGATTTAATTGATGTAATCATTATGTATATTTTTATTTTAGGACCTACGTGTTCTGATGATCCTTGTGATGGAGATGCAACATGCTCAGAGGATGATGGATTAGTTCAGTGTAAATGCAATCAAGGTTATCAAGGAGATGGGTATTTTTGTGGACGTAAGAACTGATTCAATATTTGTTTGAGTGAAAAATTCCTAAACCTTTAAAGGGTGTACATTAAAAATGAAATATATTACAAGGTAAGCAAAAAATAAAAAGGATAAACTGAACATGATGACTTGAAACTATGTTTGAAGATGCAAGCAGTATTGTTCAATCAATTGTAATCACTATTTCCATAAAATTACTGTTGAACATTCTGCATATCAGATATTCAAAATTATTGTTTGTGTCTTAATCATGTTTATTAATTTTAGCATTGTGCGATGATGTTACTGAAATAGAAAATGGATATATAGTATATTCTGGAGAAATTGAATCAGTTGCAGGATATAAAGCCACTTTCAGGTGTAATGCTGGATATATTTTAAATGGCAATGCTGAAATAATCTGTCAAGCAGATGGATTTTGGTCTGGTGCCAATCCTACTTGTGAAAGTAAGCTAAGTTATCCATGCATTGGTATTTGCTGTGCTGCTGGTGTCTTATATGTACTTTTCAAATGTCAAGTTTTTAGTGAATACTTTGATTTTTATGGGGAAATATCATAAAGCATGCTTAGAAAAAAGAAATGTCGGGCTATATAGCGCTGTTTCTTTGGCGATCGAACTCTTGGGGTGCGATAGAGCTGTTCCAGGGGTTTGACAAAGGTCCTCTGAAATAGTTGTATATGAAATCTCTCTATTACCCAGTCTTATAAGAGTGTGAAAATTACAATAGTTCACTGCAGATATCGAAACTTCCACGATATGGACTCCATAAATTGGGAAGCATCGCACATGTGTTGTATACATTAGATCTAAGTGCACTACATCTAAAACTCGGTGTAACGTTTCTAATGTCGCTGGTGTACTTGTTTATGATATCGTTTTTAAATGATTTCCGCTTCAAAATATCTTAGGTCATTATCCTTTCATATCTCCAAAGTTGTAATTTTTGCTTAGGTTCTTTTTCCTCCTTCTAGTCGCATAACATAAATATGAGCAATGTAAGCATTGCATACATACTAGGACATTCTAATTTACTTTGATAAAGCCAAAAGCAACGAAACTGTCAGTCTATTTCCATTTCATGGGCAACTAAATATAAATATCTTTTTTTGTGTCTGTAAAATGTTATTAACAGCTATCTCGCAGTACGTTGGAACTGCGTTATAGTTAGACTAGGTTTGACCATCACCGTCAGGTTAGGTAAGTTATCAACCAACTATAAAGGTTAGAATTCGCAGAGGCATTTATAAGGTTATTCCTGTTGGTAGATTCCAACTTCCATTATGATCAAACAATTCATGCACAATGAAGTGAAAATACAACTTTCTGACAACTAGTCTGCTGCGGCCTCAGCTATTGTGACACACAATAGTCATTCTGTCACAGGGTATTGATATCTAAGTTGTTTTGTAAAATATGTTAACCACAAAAGACATTTAGTTGGATGACTGGTAGTGGTGATTTGGACTTATTGGTGGTTGCTATTCCTTTGATAATGCGTGTCCTTAAAATTTTAACATGAAAACTTAACCAATATGCTCAACAATAACGCAAGAAATTAAGCAAGTTTTAGCTGTTCCAAACTTTGGTTTAGACAAAAGATAGGGGTTTGGCAGGTTTACCAAGATTAAGAAACACTGCCATATGTAATTTTTAATACTACTATAGTTGTAGCATTCTTTACTGACTCTGATGTTGTGATGGAACCTGATAAACAAAGTTAATAGTTGTGTTAGTAAAGATAACATTGCATCCAGTGTGGATGGTGATATTTACAATTAATTGGCATTCAGACAGGAGATTGTAGTATATTTTCAGATGCAGATAGTGAAAAATTCCATCCTATGACAAATTTAGTTTTAAATTAAATATTTTATTGGTAAATTATTTTGATTCATCATCATATATTGGATCACTTTTTGTAAGCTATTTGAAGTTAAAAGGTAAATAATTTTGAACTAAGGGAAAATGCTTAGCATTGCTTCTTTGTATATACATTTAATAGGGATATAATATTGTTATTTGGTATTACATAATATCATTAACTTCATTTTTCAAGAATTCGAATGTCCTGCTGGACGAAAATACATCAATTGCGAGCCATGCGAAGGAACATGTGATAACCCAAATCTATCTTACTTGGTACCCAAACCGGGTAAAGTACCTATGTGTGCGAAGATATGCAAACGTGGGCATTTCTGTAGTTGCCCAGAAGGCTTCATACAGAAGAGTGCAAGTAATACAACATGTGTGCCTATTTCAACATGTATAAATCAAGGTAAAGGTATTCTTTACTTTGTAAGCTCTAATAATGGTTTATATTGTTATTATCTTATATATAAACATAGCAAAACTGACAATGTTGTTTTGTGAATATTTTCTAATATTTTTGAAGTAGATAATAATATCATCGGTTATGCATTTGAACTCAAATTCAATTAGCTATCATATTCTATAATTTATCATCATTTGAATATTAAAACGAAAGCAATTATATTGAAACGTTCACTTAAACTAAGTTTTCCAAAGTTCATGTCTATAATAGTCTATAATATTTAATTAGAGTTGAAAAAATTCTAAAATGAAATTACATAAAAAAAATTACATTGTCATATGAAACTTGAACTCCAGATAGGTGTTTTATTGTGCCGAACTGTTCATTGATTTCAATGCTTTTAAGGTTGTTTCATCAAAGAATATTTGTTGACAAAAGTCGTTGAAAGAGCTAGTATTTTAAGTTAGCTATGGCATATATTACTTACAACGTTCTATTTCTCAGTTACCCTATTGTTCTACTTCTAAAGTTAGATTTTTTTTCATACCTATACTACATTTGGTACAAGCTGACTTATTAATACATCTTTTTCAAACTAAAGCCATGCAATATAATACAAACCAAACAAAATTATTTATGAATAGTCTGTATATATTAAAAACAGAGTTGAAGTTTAATGTTTTTGTGTAATTTTTTTCCATATATTTTTGTTTTAAATTTTCATGTTTCTAGTTTCATGATCGTTAAATTTTTTTATTAATTTTGATCAGTTTCAGTCAGTGATTTCAAAATCATTTATATTTTTCAGGGGGATGCACTGCACCAAAAGTGTTTTCTGAATGTGCATCATCTTGCCCTGCATCATGTCTTGATAAATACGATGTTCCTGTAAGACCATGTCCAGCAGTGTGTTTGCAAGGATGTGTATGTCCCGAAGGAATGGTTTTATTGGATAAAGACAGTGATATATGTGTCAAATCTTCTGAATGTCCGAGTAAGTTAATGTCATTTGTTGGGTGATATTTTTTCTCTAACAAAGAGCCTAATTAAAATGAATTAAAAATAATACTAAAACCACGGGCTTTATGTATTCAAAAATGTTTCATCCTAAATTAATCAAGCAAACATTATTTTTTAGAACGAGAAGTATGCAGAGCATGGGGAGATCCACACTATATTCAGTTTGAGCAAAGTAGTAAATATGATTTTATGGGATTGTGCACGTATGTTATGTCAGAGTCTGTTGGATTTGAAAAATCAAGTGATAGATGGTTTGCTGTTCATGTTGAAAACGAGGAGCGTTTTAACAAAACTGGTGTTTCATGGGTGAAGAATGCAAGAATACTTCTTAGTGATGGATCTATTGACATTTTCTTATCCAAAGAAGGTGCAAAGGTACTGCTCTACAACATATTTGTTGTATTTGATTGTTGTGAACATAACGAAGTATACTATAGAACCAGGTGCGAAACCTTTCATAATTTTAGGGGGGGCAAACTTGTATCACCAACCAAGAAATACTTAGCCCTGTTGACACATTGTTACATAACAATAACGCTTCGATGTGATTCTCTTGAATATTAGATTGTCATTTTACTATTCAATTACCATGTGACCTAGACTCATTCGCTTGGACACGAAACTCACACATCACTAGACCGATTTCTACTAGTTCTTTCCACTAGTTCTATTTGGGTAGCTTTTTAATTTCTAGTTTTGTTTATAAAGCGCGCCAACACTGTTTCTTAAATTAAAAAAAGCTAAACAAGATCGAAAGTTAGTCTGTAAGGAAATATTATTTTGACCAGTAGAATTGCCTTCATTGTTGAATTATTTAATCATCATTTCAACTCAAATTAACATTCAGGATTCACGCAATGACGCCTTTGCAGAGTTCTTATTTATTATTCAAGATAAAAAAAAACACAAACACAATAAAAAAGTAAAATCATAAAAAGGTTCACTATCTTCTTATTAAATATCCGCATTACGGTATCAGTAATTATAATATGGAAACAACATGTGTTTAAATATAGACAAAATTATCGGGAGGGTGACCGCTCCCCCTTGCCCCAACCTCTCTCAAATCCCAGTCCCCACCCCCTTTACAGTGTTTGACCTTGTATAGAACAGTATTGAAGTTTTCTTCGATTATCAATAGCGAAGTAATAGAAGTAGGAATCAGTGTGAGAAATCTTCGCTAGGAATGACCAGAATCTATGATGATCTTGTAGACATGAGCTCATCAGTCTAGGAATAAATATCTTTCTGTGATATATATTTATATATTTCCGATGCTGCCGCAGTTGGCAATTCTTTTATAATAAATCATTTATTTTAAATCATTCTGTTAATCACTTGACTCAACACTTGAACCTTGTTCTATCGCTCGTCAATAATCATCGTGAACGATGCATTATCACGAGTTAGGCATCCTTATCAGAGCCAACTAAAGGAAATATCGAAATTGTAGAGACGATTAAAGTTAATTGCGTAAAGTTAAGCGTTAAGCAAGGAACAAACTTGATGTGCAAGATCACATGAGATTGGCAATTTTGCATGCACAGCCAGCAATAAAAAAACTATGTGCTGAGCTGTAAGCACACCCTTCACACTGAAAATAATATGCACCTTCAAGTTGCAATAAATTAGTAAGCTATTTGTGTTGCATATGTGAGGAGTGGCAGCTAATTTAAACGTTGTCCGAATAGCTCTATGCTATGTTTTTCTATTGTATTTTCAGTTTCAAATTTGTGGGGGTCCACGTTTACCTGAGAGAGGCATAAGGGGGCCGCAGGCACATAAAGTTTGAGAACCACTGTTCTAAGTACAAGCTAGAAATTATATCATAGAAATTTTACTAAAAGTGGGGTTGGAGGGGTCCACGCTGGCTGCAACCCTCGGTTATGGCATGCTTGGTAATTACTTTATTTTGTTTAACTCTACATGTTGTAAATTGTTAACTAGCAATTAAAGAATTTTGAATGTATGTGTTTATATTTTTTTTAATTTATATAACAGTTCAATGGAAAAGACGTGACTGTTGTCAATCATCCACGATTCACACTGAGAGTTAATGGTAAAGCATACACCGTAACTACTGATTGTGGAGTATCAATAACATTCAATCCTAATGCAGTTATCATACGAGTACCTCCATCATACAAAGATCAAGTTAGTTTTGTAATACTTGGATTTCATTTTATACAGTTAATAGACGAGTTGAATACTTAAGCTTGGCAAGTACGGTATATGAATGCAATTTTTATTACCGTATATTGATGACAGAACAGTCATCATAATAATAAACAGCAATAAAAAAAATTTAATTGTTGATATTAAGGTTAGAGGTCTATGTGGAGATTATAATGGAGATTCATCAGATGATCTTACAATGTCAAATGGGGAAGTTACTGATAGCTGGAATGAATTTGCATCAAGTTATGTTGTTGGAAAATGTGATCATGATATTCTGAGTCCAGAACCAAAATGCACAGAAGAAGAAAGAGCAAAATGGTAACATAAACTAAAGTTACCTCACAGACCGGCAATAATTGAAATGAATGGAATAGAAAATAACAGCCTGTGTTTGACAACATACTTCAATGTTTGTAATGTTTCAATGTCTTGGCACACAATAGGGTAAATCACAAAACACTAAATAATAGTTTATATAACAACCTGTCTGTAAACAATTACAAATAAATACTTACACATTTATATGGACTGTTGACATTGTCTCAATTAGAAAATATTTGACCTAGTTTGACAATGCTGTTTCTCATGAGTTTCTGTTGGTAATATAACATGGGTTTGTCTCTTGGAACAGCACTAGGGTCTTACATGTTTTCACTAAGAAATTGTCATTTTTGCAACAAAATTTGTAAAATCATAGGCCCACAAAATAATATCAACATAATAAAAACAAATACAAGTCAAGTTATGACCAACTCAAAATCAAAATTCAATCGAAATTTTTACAATTTTCATACTCTCTTACCTGCCTATATTTACGTTTTACTGAAGTATACAAAGTGACAAATCCGTTCTTTCCTAGGTTTTGCGATAGCTATTGGAAACTTTCTGAAATAGGTGATGTTTCCCATTATTTATCGAATAATTGGGTCAACATTCTTATGTCATGACTTTTTTATGTTGTTACTATTTTTAGTAATATGTACATTTATATATCATATATCATTTTCGATTTTGTATAGTGGGAGAATTACCATGAGACATTGCTTATCACAAGTAAAGTGAACAGTGTCTGTTCATATTTGAATTGGAATTTGAGTTTACCTGCTACTAAACCCAAATCTTGATCGAACATATAAGGCTAAATAATTTGACAATGTTATTCCGATTATTATTCAAATGTAAATTAAATTAGTATTTAATGCTAGCATATGTTTTGGCTGGATAATTATCTTATCTGTTGAAAACTACTTCGATACTTGAAATATTACTCTCTTCATATAATTGTTTCGAGATGTGTTCATTTTGTTGTCTAAATACCATAATACTATGAGTATTACCAAATTTAACATCAAAAAATGTGTGTGGGTAGATTTTAGATGCTTGAGAGAAGAAGCAATTTCACAACGGATTAAAAACTGAAAGTGGAGAGGGCCGAAACACCTCTGTGATTAATGCCATCCTATACAGTCAAACGTTAAATTTAACATAAGTAACATAATTCCGTTCTACTGGGTAAGCTGGCAGGAAAATTACAAAACAACAAATCTTTTCATAGATGTGCTTAAATCAGAATGCCATGCTCATTAACCCTTGTGTTCTAATTTATATAAAAATACATTTTGTGAGAATACGAGCTTCTTACATTTTTTGCGCACACTTTGTATATATTGTTATCATCATCAATACATACTGCATTTTGAGTTATGTTCTACGAACTATCCGAAAAAGCGTAATCAATATTTAAGTCAACTTTTTTAAGTTAAACAAGGCCAATATCACCGAGTTATGAGCTAGGTTCTTTTAATTCTGTATCTTCATCTTTTAATTTGGTGTATTATGAAATTTTTGATGTTGGCTAGATGATTTTCCAATGATTCCTTTCATTTTAAGAAGTTTTTATTTGAAGGTACTTCAAAATATAAGTGATAATTTTTCATCTTCACGTTTTTTGTAATGCCATAATTGTCAGTTAGTAGAAGAATAAAAGTTTATTATAAAATCAGACTCCAAGACTAACTTGAAAGCTTTCATTTGTAAAATTTGGAAAGGTTTGAATTCTAGATAGGCATCTAGTCATGATGGGAAAGGAAAGCCAACGACATGTCATATTAAGATGTAGTTAGAGGTGTAATGGCAATTTCATTTTGAATGATCTGATGTCGCCAACCATTGTATTGTTTCAAAAGGGATGAAGAAAACTATTAAAAAATTTACATGAGGCGCAGAAACAATTTTACGCTCTTGTTATTTTGCTGAAATAGATATTGATATTAATTGTTAATATATTATAATGACATATATACTGATACTAAAAGAGTATCCATCAAATTGTCTATTACTCATTTTGGTGGCCATATTTTTGCGAACAAATTAGATCAGTGAAAGCAAGGCCCCTCCTAGTCCTAATGAAAAAATTTGTTGAACAACTGCGTATGTCACAGCCATCAATTGTCAATACTTCTGATAAAAAGTAGCAATTGTAACAGACATTCTTGTAACTTCCAACATCCATCTTTTTTTGTATTTCTCAAGCATTATTGAACACAAAGTGGACCTATGGATTTTTTGTTATCAAAATGTTATTTTTGTTATTTTTTTTTTTCTTGTTAGCCTTATTTGTCTTGTTGTTATGAAAAAATCGCTTTTCTGTTAAACTATTAAACCAAATTTTTTTTCAGTGGTTTTAAAGTGGTTTAATTTTTATAGAATTTTATACTTTTTCACATGCTGTGAATATAATTTCTTCTAAAAGACATGTCCGTCATTAATTCGAAAAATAAATGAGTCACACAAGTCGAGAAAACTGTATAGGATCTATAGGAATAGGTTTTTTTTTGCAATTTATTATTTTTTTTAGGTCGCAAAATACATTTTGTGGAGCAATCACAGAAGTTTCCGGAATATTTGACCAATGTAGAAGCCTGTTAGATATAAAAACCTATTTTCAAAATTGTGTATTCGATATGTGTGTAACAAAGGGAGAACTTCAAGTTTTTGAACAGGTAATAAATTTTCTTTCACTTAGTATTTTATAGTAATAACATGTTGAAATATTTAATGGCATGTTTGTATGTAAGACATGTTATAATAGTAATAACATGTTGAAATGGAATGTTTGTATGTAAGACATGTTATATTAAATGTGAAAAAACTGCACCTCATTATTTTTCATAGTACTCAATTCATAGTTTTGCTAATTTTTATTCATGGATAAACTTGAATAACATCTTTTGTGGTTTTCACAGACAATTGAAAATTTTGTTGAGGATTGTACTGATAAAAATGTAACATTATGCGGATGGAGGGAAGCCCTATATCTTCCAGTAAAATGCATGGCTCACAGTACTTATCAAAGTTGTCCAACAAATTGTCAAAATTCATGTGCTGATCGTTATGCATCAACAAGGTATGTGTTTAATGATAATTGAAATCATATTATTATGTTGATTTTTTGACGCATGTCAACAGTATTAGTCTTTTTAGATGTGTTATACCCATTGCGGAAGATTGCATATGTGATGCTGGTTATATAAAAGAAGGTGACCAATGCATCTTGGAAAATGATTGTGGTTGCTGGAGAAAAGGAATGTACTATTCTAAAGGTAATAAATTGTTTTTAATCAACATTTTACATGTTCAAATTCAAGCTTTGTTCAAATTCAAGCTTTGTTTCTTTTACATGATGCTGACTTTGACTAACTGGCAATTTTTTTGGGCATTTACACCAAAACAAGGTAATTTTTGAAGTTTTATGATTTAGGTTCTCGCGTAACAGATGATGATGAACACAAGACTTGTGTCTGTTCGGAATCGATTGGATTTACTTGCAGATGCTTGGATGGATATATAAGAGATGGTCGAAATTGTCAAAGTAAGTATTTTGAATTTCAATAAAATTTATTACACTTTTGTAGTAGTAGAGCATAGTACATGGTGTGCATCAATTTTAAACTTGGATATTTTTGAAATGCCACAGACCACTGTTCTTGAAAATGCCAATAAAACATATCACAGTTACTGTTCAATTAATATATATTCTACACTAATTAATCGTACAACCTCGAGTTATGCCATTGATACTGTTTAAGGTCATGAATTTTTACATTAGCTAAACTGCTGAGCTTCTCTAATTTATTTACTGGTAAAAGATTGTGAGCCCCTGAAGAGCATGTGAATATAATAATATATGGAAAGCACATGAACTAGCTTTGATAAAATTCTTTATAAATGCCTCATTATGCATAAACAAAGTCAGATACCTCAAGTGTTGAGCATTACAGAAATTGTGGAGTATCAGTCAAGGCATGTGGATTACATTATTACACAATATCTACTGGTAATATGTTTTTTGAAAGTTGAACAAATATTCAAAATTTAGAAGTACCCTTTTAAATGTATTGCTTGATTCAAATTGTCATTAATCATATTTTTATTTTAGGACCTACGTGTTCTGATGATCCATGTGATGAAGATGCAACATGCTCAGATGATGATGGATTAGTTCAGTGTAAATGCAATCAAGGTTATCAAGGAGATGGTTATTCGTGTGGACGTAAGAACTGATTTATTCTAATATAATATTTGTCTGTGTAAAAACATCTAATCTTACAGATGGTTCACAATAAAACTAAAACTTATTACAATTAATACAGCATAAAAAAGAATAAACTGAACATGATGTCTTGAAACTGAGCTTGGGGATGCATACAGTATTGTCCTATCAAATGTGATCACTATTTTCTTTTGATTACAAATAAATATTTTGCATTTTGAATATTAAAAATTATTTGTTTGTGTTCCAATGTTGTTTGTTATTTTTAGCATTGTGCGATGATGTTACTCAAATAGAAAATGGATATATAGTATATTCCGGAGAAATTGAATCAGTTGCAGGATATAAAGCCACTTTCGGGTGTAATGTTGGATATATTTTAGTTGGAAATGCTGAAATAATTTGTCAAGCAGATGGATTTTGGTCTGGGGCCAATCCCACTTGTGAAAGTAAGCTAAGTTATTCATGTATTGGTATTTTCTGTACTGATGGCATCTTATATTTGCTTTTTAATGTCAAAAAATTATAATCAAATTTCAATAAAACATACTGAGATTTGATGTACCGGTAGATGTTCCAAGGGTTTTGACAAAGGTCCACTGAAATAGTTGTATATCATATCTCTTTATTACCCAGCCTTTTAATTGTGTAAAAATTACTATAGTTCACCCAATATGACAATTCATGAAATATGTATGGTTTGGCAGATTAGTTGTATTGGACCTGTTCGTTATACATTTGGTCTAAGTACTTACCTTACTCACCGGTACTTATCTCACCTTATTCAAAAATTACTAATAAAATGTAATGTTAATAAAATTAGCAGCCACCCTTGTGGGTGACCTTATTATGACGCTGAGTATGATCTAATCTCTATTTCCTTAAAATAATTCACAATGCTTTGATCCCTGCATCTTACTGTTATTGGAAGTCTGAACAATAAAACGACTTCTATCTTCGCATAACTTAAATATGAGTGTGTACATTCATTCATGCAGGCAAAGTTCTTGTGGCCATAGTAGTCTTTATGTCACAGTGTGTTGACATTCACATTTTTGTGAAACTTGTCAACCTAGTAAGGGACTGAGTAGGATGTCAGAAGGCGTTCATTCAAACTGATTAGAGGTCGAAATTCCTTTTAAGGCTAAAAACTTGACCAATATGATCAAAAATAGCGCAACAAATAATTACTCTATCAATTGAAGCCGGTTGTATATCCTTGCACAAAATCAGATTCTTCTTATTGCTGCGCAAGCTGCTCTCCTTGTTTTAGCTGTTCAAAACATTGGGATTCAACATTGGCTTGCAGAATAGCATAGCGGTTCGGCAGGTTTTTGAAGGTTAAAACAACTACCATAAAGGGTTATATACTACTATAGTTGTAGCAATTTTTATTTACTCTTATGTTGTAAAGGAAATTGAAAAGACAAAGTAAATGGTTGTGTTAGTAAAGATAACATTGCATCCAGTGTGTGGGGTGATATTTACAATTGAATGACGTTAATCAGGGGATAGTGGTATATTTTCAAGGACAGATAGTAAAAAATTCCATTCTATGACAAATTTAGGTAAATAATTTTGTTTCATAAAGATATATTGCATCATTTGTTGTAAGCTAGATAAAGTAAACAATTTGATGATTTTAAACTGGGCGACAAACACCCAAAGTTGCTTATTTGAATACACATTTAATAGGAATGTGATATTGTTATTTAATTAATAAATAATATCATTAACTTATATTTTTCAAGAATTCGATTGTCCTGCTGGACGGAAATACATGGATTGTGAGCCATGTGAAGGAACATGTGATGACCCAAATCTGTCTTACCTGATACCAAAACCCGGTGTAGTACCTATTTGTGCAAAGATATGCAAACGAGGACATTTCTGTAGTTGCCCAGAAGGCTTTATACAGAAAAGTGCGAGTGACACAACATGTGTGCCTATTTCAACATGCATAAATCAAGGTAAAAGCATTCCTTATTTTGTAAATTTAGAATGTGGTTTATATTGTTTTCTTTTTTATATAAACATAACAAAACTGACAAATTATTCTGTGAAATATTTTCAATATAGATAATAATATTATCAGTTATGCATTTGAAAATAACTTCAAACATTTATAATATTTAATAAATTAATATCATTTAAATATTGAAACAAAAGCAATTACCATACTTTACAGACAATATGGGGCACCCGGTTATAAAGTGCACTGTCAATAAATTGCTTAGCTTGGGTTTTTATTCATACATAAAGCACATTGTGCTATAAGACACAACAGTCACTGGTTTCGATTGTAGGCAGAAATTGAAGTTTAACTGTTAAATGTTTAACATTTACTGTATATCTTGAATTTGTTTCACATTTTCTTCGTTCTTTTGGAATATGGCCACTATTCATGTTTATTCTATTCATTAATTTTCATCTGGTTCAGTCTGTGAATTTAAAAAATATCTACCGGTGGTTGTTTCAGGGAAATGCACTGCACCGAAAGTATATTCTGATTGTGCATCAGCTTGCCCTGCATCGTGTCTTGATAAATACGACATTCCTGCAAAACCATGTCCAGCAGTGTGTTTGCAAGGATGTGTATGTCCAGAAGGAATGGTTTTATTGGATAAAGACAGTGATATATGTGTCAAATCTTCTGAATGTCCGAGTAAGTTACTGTCAAGTATTGTGTTCCTGTTTTTGCCGCTATTAAAGGGCTTTATTAAAATGAATCAAATATAATAACAAAAGTATGGCTTGGTGAAAATGTGAAAAAAAAAAACTGTATTTGAAAACATTTCATCATAAAATAATCAAGCAAACATTATTTTTTAGAACGAGAAGTTTGCAGAGCATGGGGAGATCCACACTATATTCAGTTTGAGCAAAGTAGTAAATATGATTTTATGGGATTGTGCACGTATGTTATGTCAGAGTCTGTTGGATTTGAAAAATCCAGTGATAGGTGGTTTGCTGTTCATGTTGAAAACGAGGAGCGTTATAACAAAACTGGTGTTTCATGGGTGAAGAATGCAAGAATACTTCTTAGTGATGGATCTATTGACATTTTCTTATCCAAAGAAGGTGCAAAGGTACTGCTCTACACCATATTTGTAATTGATTGTTGTAAACATCTAATATGCATTATACGATAGAACCAGTGGGGGGACACCTTCCATAATTTTAAGAAGGAAGAACTTGGATCGCCAAGCAATAATTACAACACATTGACACATTGCTATATAACAATAACACTTCGATGTGATTTCCGAAAAGTGGGTGGTGTCAGCGCTGGCTGTGACCATCAGTTATGGCAGGCTTGGTAATTTTCTGATTTTGTTCAACAAATTGTAAATTGTTACCTAGCAAATAAAGAATTTCAAATGTATGTGTTCATATATATTTTAAAATATATAACAGTTCAATGGAAAAGACGTGACTGTTGTCAACCATCCACGATTCACACTGAGAGTTAATGGTAAAGCATACACCGTAACTACTGATTGTGGAGTATCAATAACATTCAATCCTAATGCAGTTATCATACGAGTACCTCCATCATACAAAGACCAAGTTAGTTTTGTAATATTTGGATTTCATTTTATACAGTTTATAGACCAGTTGAATACTTAGTATAAGTATAGTATATGAATGCAATTTTTCGTATATTTATGACAGAGCAGTCATCATGATAGTAAACAGCAATATAAATATTTTTTCAAATGTTGAAATTCAGGTTAGGGGTCTATGTGGAGATTATAATGGAGATTCATCAGATGATCTTACAATGTCAAATGGGGAAGTTACCGATAGCTGGAATGAATTTGCAACAAGTTATGTTGTTGGAAAATGTGATTATGATATTCTGAGTCCAAAACCAAAATGCACAGAGGAAGAAAGAGCAAAATGGTAACATAAACTAAAGTTACCTTACCGGCCGACAATAATTAAAATGAATGAAATAGAAAATAACAGCCCATGTTTGACTACATACTTCAATGTTTGTAATGTTTCAATGTCTTGGCACACAATAGTGTAAATCACAAAACACTAAATAATAGTTCAGATAATAACCTGTCTGTACACATTAGCAAGTAAATACTTACACATTCATATAGACAGGAGTGGGCACAATTTTCTAGTATAAGAACCGCATGCTGCAAGACAGAACTTTAAATGAGCCACAGAATTTGTGAATTTATTATTATTAGAATACCATGAACAGAAAAGAAATTTACACATGAGTATAATAACAATAAATAAAAACACAAGAGAGCTATGCTCAAATATATGGACATTCAGAGTATTTTGCCAATTTCCGAAAATCATATGCGGCAACTTCGCAGGATCGGGGTCACTTCTATATTCCCAGATTGGGCCTTCTAGAGAAATATTCCATCTTCAACCACTGAAAATTTCGAAGCAATTGGCCCAGTAATCATAGAGAAAAGGGGTTTTCCATTAGATGTCCAGAAGTGCAAAAAGATCCATAGGTCCACTACATGTCCAATAATATTATAAAGTATTTATTACGAGGTCGTATCAAGAGACTTGTGTGTTTCCATCATTTCTATAGGTTTTCGAAAGTCTGAGCGATATGCAGTCAATACGAACCAATTCTGTCAGAGGTTCATTTGTTAAACTTTTGTTCATTTGTTAAAATTTTTTCACAAAATCGTAGTCAAAGTATGGGTGTTTAGCGCAAGCAGTATTCCATGCTATAACAAAACTAGCTTCAGTTGTTGTATCAGATTCCTTGCCATAACATAAATTTCTGCTGTCTTTCCAGTAACAATTTGAGCTCATTTAATTTGTGTTTCCTCATAGCTGATTTACGAGGGTAGTCTCGTAAGAAGTTTTCATGATTCAAGTTTACATGTTGCCGTTTAACATTGCCGACTTTATTCTGACTTAGTAGCTTATGACAGATTAAGCACAAAGGTTCATTCTTCTGACTGGTAGATGCGTATTCTTCTTACCATTCTGACTTGACAACTCTGTTCTCATCTTCGTACTTTCGTTTCAACTGAGACTAACTAACCGCAATCAAGATGCAATACCGCCAATGCATCAATAAACATTGACCATTGTGATGTAAGATTTGTCGCTTGACTGACTTGAATACAAAATTCCACGCTACAACGATTTTCATACTAAAACATAATTTGTCTTAATCATTGATGAAAACTTCTTTACAACTTTTAATAAATTAAAAAAATTACATTACAGTTTTCTCTCAGTTAAAATTTGTATAACAATTTATGTTAGCGAGAAGAGCCGCACAAAAAGTCTCGAGCCGCGGTGTGCCCACCGTTGATATAGACTGTTGACATTGTGACAATTTGAAGATTTTTGAAAAAGTTCGACAATGACGTTCCTCATGAGTTTCTTATAGTAATATAACATGGGTTTGTCTCAGTACTGCGGTCTTACATGTTTTCACTAATGAATTGTCCATTTTTCACTAAATTTGTAAAATCATAGGCCCACTAAATATCAACATATTGAAAAACAGCTACACAAGTCAAGTTATGACCAACTCAAAATCAAAATTCAATCAAAATTTCTAAAATTTTCATACTCTCATACCTGCCCATATTTACATCCTACTGAAGTATATGAAGTGACCAATTCGTTTCCTACTAGATTTTGTGATGGCTATTGGTGACTTCCTGAAATATTTCCCATTATTTCTTGGATAATTAGCATTCTTATGTCATGACTTTTTTACTTCATCATTATTTTTGAAAATATGGAGGCACGTTCAAAGCTATGGATGAGAAAAATCCGACTTACAAAAATTTGTTAGGGAAAATTTTTTTATTCGACTTACGTAAGATTTTTTACATAGGAAAGGCTGGAAAATGGAAAATAAAAAATGCATGTAGTGATATTTGTTCATTTTAGGTTAATTTAATGCAGTGCTACAAGCAGAAATGTCCAATTCAAATTTATATGAATACTGAATATACTAGCGCCGTCGTCCACGTTTTGTTTTAAAACATTTTACAATAATTTTCTTTTTTATTATCATAATCTCAGCCATGTGCGTTGTGGTCATAAATTTCAGTGGGCATGAAAGGATTTTAATTAGCTGATTTTAATTAGTGTTGAAGTTCCCTGGGTATGAACAATGTGTCTAACTCAGGTCTAGTTGCTAGCGAAATTCAGTGAAAATACAATGATATGCGTAACAGTTAAAACAGAAGAAGAAGAAGTGAAAAAATAAATATAGAAAAGAAAAACAAAAAAACTATCAAATTATATGTGATCAGCAAGGGCCTCCCAGTCCCAAGAAGATAAATTGATTGAACAACAGCATATGTCACAGCCATCAATTGTTTGTCAATACTTCTGATGAAAAGTAGCTATTGTAACACAATACATTCTTGTAGTTTCCAACATCCATCTTTTTTTCTATTTCTCAAGCTTTAATCGACACAAAGTGGACCTATGAATTGTTTTGTTGTCAGCTTCCCCTTTTTTCTGATTTTCATTATTTTAGTTCTATTACGAATTTGGAGACTGTCGTGTTAGCCAAGAGAATATAACCCCTGCCCACAGGCTTCCGTCCCTCTACACAACTTGATGTAAAGTAGGCAAACAAATGGTTACATCCAGCTCCATATTGGTACAATTACTTCTTGAGTGCCAAATTTTATACTTTTTCACATGCTGTGAATTCAATTTATCCTGATAGACATGTCCGTCATTATGTTGAAGAGTTCGAGAAAACTGTATAGAATTTTTTTGCAGATTTATTTGTTTAATTTTTTTTAGGTCGCAAAATACATTTTGTGGAGCAATCACTGAAGTTTCCGGAATATTTGACCAATGTAGAAAATTGTTAGATATAAAAACCTATTTCCAAAATTGTGTATTCGATATGTGTGTAACAAAAGGAGAACTTGAAGTTTTTGAACAGGTATTATATTTTTCCTACTTTATAGTAAAATTATAGTTTATATTTTATAGTAATAACATGTTGATATAGTAAATGCCATTATTTGATTGTTCATAAGTGATTCATAGTCTTCTTATTTTTGTTCATGGACAAACTCGAATAATGTCTTTTGTGGTTTTCACAGACAATTGAAACTTTTGTTGAGGATTGTATTGATAAAAATGTAACATTATGCGGATGGAGGGAAGCCCTAAATCTTCCAGTAAAATGCATGGCTCACAGTACTTATCAAAGTTGCCCCACAACTTGTCAAAATTCATGTGCTGATCGTTATGCATCAACAAGGTATGTGTTTAATGATAATTGAAATTATATTATTATGTTTATTTTATGTCGCATGTCAACAGAATTAGTCTTTTTAGATGTGATATACCCGTTGTGGTAGATTGCATATGTGATGTCGGTTATATAAAAGAAGGTGACCAATGCATCTTGGAAAAAGACTGTGGTTGCTGGAGAAAAGGAATGTACTATTCTAAAGGTATTAAACTGTTTTATTTAAGATTTTATATGTTAAGATTCAAACTTTGTTCTGTTTGAACAATTTACAACAATTTCCTGGTTGCCTAGTCCATTTACATACTGCTGACACTTGACTAACTAGCAATTATTTTATGCATTTACCCCAAAACAAAGTAATTTGTGAAGTTTCATAAATTAGGTTCTCGAGTAACAGATGATGAGGAACACAAGACTTGTGTCTGTTTGGAATCAATTGGATTCACTTGCACATGCTTGGATGGATATATAAGAGATGGTCGGAATTGTCGGAGTAAGTCTTTTGGTTTTCATAATTATTACTTCTCTTTTTTTAATAGTAGATTATAGTACATGATGTACTTTGATTTTAAATTTTGATATTCTTGAATCATTGAGTCACAATGCCGCAGACCACTGTGCTTGAATATTTCATTAACACTTCACAGATACTGTTAAATTAATATGTATTTTACATCAATTAATCGTACAATCCTGAGTAATGCCATTGATACTCTATAACAGTGGTTCTTAAACTTTTTCGAGCGCGACCCAAATCTGAGTTTTATGTATACTCGCGACCCAATCCTAAATAACGCAAAATGTGTTTTTAATGTTAGTACAGTTTGACTCAAATACAGACAACTATTTATTAGAAACACTCCATTGACTCAGTGAGATTGATGAAACTGAAATTTCCTTTTCATTATATCTTCAATACACAGCTCTATTTTACTTAACGCAATACGCAAGTTGTCACTGGTATCGAGGCGATTGCGAGCTTAGTTTTGATAACCGTCAGTGCCAAATATCCTCGCTCGCACAAGTGTCTTGTCGCGTATTGTAGCGGAAAAGGCGTCCGCTGTCCGTCACAAACACGACATCCTAGCTGGTCTTCGGTATCTCTCGCAATATACAACTTTTTACTCATCAAATGTGCACGCACTGCTTCGTTCGCGGTAAATGGTGCCTCGAGATGAAGTCACATTTTCTCTAGATATTGAATAATCTAATGTCGAGAAGCGAGCTTTTTCATTGCGTCGTCTATTACATTTTACATTACCAAAAAGACACCCATTTTTGGTTATTTTAATCCACTAAGACGACATTCCACGCGGTCAACACAACGACAAGCGACAGGCATGGTTACCGATACCATAAAAATAATACACGTGACTGGCATATCAGAATTGTGATGTATCAATGAGCTCAAGACAGTTCTTTCCGTGAATGAAATTTTATACTTCATTTTTTTCAAATACCAGAGTTTAGAAGCTAAATTGAAACATTGGGAAAGCTGGAAATTCGTCCCTCTCCTCCTAGATTGCCCTTGCATTGACGACCTTGTCGCGACCCATTTTTAAACCTTCCGCTACCCATGTTTGGGTCGCGACCCATACTTCAAGAACCACTGCTTTGTAAGGTCATATATTGTTTACATTAGCTAAATTGGTAATTGCTTCTTTAATTTATTTATTGATTGTGAGCCCCTGAAAAGCATGTGAAGATAATAATATATGGGAAGCTTTTTGACCACTTTTGTATCACAATTGCTGATCATTGATTGCACATGAACTAACTTTGATAAAATTCTTTAAAAATGCCTCACTGTGCATAAACAAAGTCATTTACTTCAAGTTTTGAGCATTACAGAAATTGTGGAGTATCATTCAAGGTATGTGGATATTCGCCAGATCCAATATTACATTATAGCGTTTCAAAATATCTAATATGTTTTTTAAAAGTTGAACCAATATTTAAAATTTAGAAGTTCACTTTCAAAACATTCCTTAGATTCACATTGTCTAATCCTTAACTGTATTTTTATTTTAGGACCTACATGTTCTGACGATCCTTGTGATGAAGATGCAACATGCTCAGAGGATGATGGATTAGTTCAGTGTAAATGCAATCAAGGTTATCAAGGAGATGGTTATTCGTGTGGACGTGAGAATCTATTTATTCTAATATAATATTTGTCTCTGTTAAAATATCTAAGCTAATGTATGGTTTACATAAAAAATGCAACTTGTCACAATTAAAACATTATAAAAAAGAATAAACTGAACATGATGACTTGAAACTGAGCTTGGGGATGCATCCAGTATTGTCCAATCAAATGTGATCACTGTTTTCATATGATTATAAATGAATATTTTGCATTTCAATTATTCAAAATTATTTGTTTGTGTCCTAATCATATTTATTAATTTTAGCATTATGCGATGATGTTGCTGAAATAGAAAATGGGGATATAGAATATTCTGGAGAAATTGAATCAGTTGCAGGATATAAAGCCACTTTCTGGTGTAATACTGGATATATTTTAGTTGGAAATGCTGAAATAATCTGTCAAGCAGATGGATTTTGGTCTGGAGCCAATCCTACTTGTGAAAGTACGCTAAGTTATTCATGCATTGGTATTTTCTGTAACGATGGCATCTCATATTTTCTTTTTATTGTCAAAAAATATATTCAAATTTCATTAAAAACATGGAGACGTCTCCTGCTTTGATCCCTGCATCTTACTGTTATTTGATGTCTTAGCAATAAAATGACTTCTATCTTTCTACCCGCATACTATGATTATTTGCAATGCAAGCGTTGTGTACATTCTAGGCCATTTCAATTTACTTTGATAAAGCCAAAAGCAATGTAACCCTCGTAACGGAATATAAATATTTTTTCTGCTCTATAATATGTTTATGACAGTTATCTCGCAGTCGATGAAACTGACATTATAAGTATACTAGGTTCTACTGTTACCATCAGGTTAGATATGCTGCCAACGAACTACCTAAGTTAGAAGGTTATTTTAATTAGCAACAGCTTCCACCTACATTTATGGTCAATCGATTCATGCACAATAAAATAAAAACACCCTAACAATGGAAGTAACCTTTTCAGATAATGAAGCTATGGAAAACATGGAATTTTATTATAAAAGGAAAAGTTTACAAACAAAATTGCATTCAAATCAATTTGATACTTGGTATTGTGGCCCCTTAACTGTGCTGAGGTTTTTGTAAAATATGTCAACCAAGAAAGGAACTGGTTTAGTTAAAAGCCACTACTATAGTTGTAGCAATCTTTACTTACTCTGATGTTGTAAAGGAACTTGATGAAACAAAGTTAATGGTTGTAATTGTAAATATAACATTGCATTCAGTATGGATGGTGATATTTACAATTGAATGGCATTAAGAATAGGATTTTCTGGGGTGAATAGTGAAAAATTCCATCCTATGACACATTTTAGTTTTACTAAATTATTTCATTGGTAAATAACTTTGATTCATCATAATATATTGTTGCATCATTTGTTGTAAGTTAGATAAAGTAAATAATATGATAATTTTGAATGGGGGACAAAGGTCTAATGTTACTTTTTTGAATACACATTTGATGAGAATGTAATATTGTTATTTAATACATATTATCATCAACTTTATTTTTCAAGAATTTCAATGTCCTGCTGGACGAAAATACATGGATTGTGAGCCATGTGAAGGAACATGTGATAACCCAAATCTGTCTTACTTGATTCCAAAACCCGGTGTAGTACCTATTTGTGCGAAGATATGCAAACGTGGACATTTCTGTAGTTGCCCAGAAGGCTTCATACAAAAAAGTGCGAGTGACACAACATGTGTGCCTATTTCAACATGCATAAATCAAGGTAAAAGCATTCCTTTTGTAAACTTCAATCGATGTTTTTTTATATAAACATAACAAAACTGACAAATTGTTCTGTGGAATTTTTTTAATATTTTCGAAGTAGGTAATAATATTATCAATTATGCATTTAAATATAAAATTTATCATATATAATACCTTATTATCATTTAAACATTTAAACAAAAGCAATTGCCATATTTTACAGGCGATAAGATACACTCTGGTTATAAAGTGCACTCTAAATAAATTGCTTAGCTTGTATTTTTATTCATACATAAGGCACATTGTGCTATCCGGCACAATAAGTACTGGTTTTGATTAAAGTAATACATTGAAAATGGAGTTTAACTGTTAAATATTTAATGTTTTGACTGAAATTTGTTTCACATTTTCTTCGTTGTTTTAGAATATGGCCACGTTCATGTTTGTTCCCTTCATTAATTGTCATCTGGTTCAATCTGTGAATTTTAAAAATATTTGATTGTTTCAGGGAAATGCACTGCACCGAAAGTATATTCTGATTGTGCATCATCTTGCCCTGCATCGTGTCTTGATAAATATGACATTCCTGCGAAACCATGTCCAGCAGTGTGTTTGCAAGGATGTGTGTGTCCAGATGGCATGGTTTTATTAGATAAAGACAGTGATATATGTGTCAAATCTTCTGAATGTCCGAGTAAGTTACTATCAATTGTTGTGTACTCTTTTTGTATCTATTAGAGTGATTTATTCAATTAAAGGAATAAGATAAAAAAAAAGCATTATTAGGTCTCGTTGAATGTTTTAAATTTTACCGAAATTTTTAAATGGGTAGTGGCTACTTGCGCAAAATTGCTTTGACAGTCGAATGAGTGAATAATTGCATTCAAAAATATTTCATCATTAGTCAATCAAGCAAACATTATTTTTCAGAACGAGAAGTATGCAGAGCATGGGGAGATCCACACTATATTCAGTTTGAGCAAAGTAGTAAATATGATTTTATGGGATTGTGCACGTATGTTATGTCAGAGTCTGTTGGATTTGAAAAATCCAGTGATAGATGGTTTGCTGTTCATGTTGAAAACGAGGAGCGTTATAACAAAACTGGTGTTTCATGGGTGAAGAATGCAAGAATACTTCTTAGTGATGGATCTATTGACATTTTCTTATCCAAAGAAGGTGCAAAGGTACTGCTCTACACCATATTTGTAATTGATTGTTGTAAACATCTAATATGCATTATACCATAGAACCAGTGGGGGGACACCTTTCCATAATTTGAAGGGGGGCGAAATTGGTTCGCCAACCAAGAAGTGCGGGACATTGACACATTTTCACATAACAATACCACTTCGATGTGATTTTTGAAAAGTGGGATTAAGGTGTCAGCACTGGCTGCAATCCTCAGTCATGGCATGCTTGGTAATTTTTTATTTTGTTGATCTCAACAAATTGTAAATTGTTAACTAGCAAATTAAGAATTTCAAATGTGTGTGTTCATATATTTTTAAACATATATAACAGTTCAATGGAAAAGACGTGACAGTTGTCAACCATCCACGATTCACACTGAGAGTGAATGGTAAAGCATACACCGTAACTACTGATTGTGGAGTATCAATAACATTCAATCCGAATGCAGTTATCATACGAGTACCTCCATCATACAAAGATCAAGTTAGTTTTGTAATATTTTGATTTCATTTTATACAGTTTATAGACCAGTTGAATACTTAAGCTTGGGAAGTATATGAATGCAATTTTCAGTATATTGATGACAGAGCAGGTATCATGATAATAAATAGCAATATAATTTTTTTTTGAATTGTTGAAATTCAGGTCAGAGGTCTATGTGGAGATTATAATGGAGATTCATCAGATGATCTTACAATGTCAAATGGGGAAGTTACTGATAGCTGGAATGAATTTGCAACAAGTTATGTTGTTGGAAAATGTGATTATGATATTCTGAATCCAGAACCAAAATGCACAGAAGAAGAAAGAGCAAAATGGTAACATAAACTAAAGTTACCTCACGGACCGGCACTAAAATATTGAAATGAATGAAACAAAAAATAACAGCCCATTTTTGACTGCATACTTCAATGTTTGTAATGTTTCAATGTCTTGGCACAGAATAGATTAAATCACAAAACACCAAATAATAGTTCAAATAACCACATGTTAGTATACCCTCCCCAAATACACACTTATACATTTATATGGAAGTTTGACATTTCACGATTGGAAAATATTTGAACGGGTACATAGATGTCGTTTCTTATGAGTTTCTGATGGACTGTAATAGTACTTTAATATGGGTTTTATTTTGATAACCCGATGTCGCCAATAATTCCAATGTTCCAACATAATGAAGGAAACTATTAAAAAATTTACATGAGGCAAAGAAACACTTCACACTCCTGTTATTGTGCTGAAATATATATTGGTATTGATTGTTAATATATATAATGAAATAGATATATTGATATTACAAGAGAATCCATCAAATGGTCCATTGCTCGTCCTAACAAAATAAATTTATTGAAAAACCGCGTATGTCGCTGTGAGACCTCACCCCACTCCAGCTATCAATTGTTTGCCAATACTTCTGATAAAAGGTAGCTATTGTAACGGACATTGTTGTAGCTTTCAACATCCACCTTTTTCATTCTGGATTGTTTTGTTGTTATTATGTTGTTATTGTTTACCTTTTTAGTATTTTTCTAATTGTTCAGTTTCCTATTTAACTACTGAAAGAATTGTTTTGAAACTTCCAGTGGTTAGATATTTTTATGACACTAGAATATTTTACTTTTATTTATTCCTAAATTTTCTATGAAGTCTATGAGATCTGAGATTTCTCCCAAAATTTCTCTGTTTCATATTTATTCATGGGATCACGGTTATTATTCCACCAAGTGTGACGGCCTACATCAAGGTTGTTTTTTCAGGTCGCAAAATACATTTTGTGGAGCAATCACACAAGTTTCTGGTATATTTGACCAATGTAAAAGCTTGTTAGATATAAAAACCTATTTCCAAAATTGTGTATTCGATATGTGTGCAACAAAAGGAGAACTTCAAGTTTTTGAACAGGTATTATATTTTCTTTCACTTAGTATTTTATAGTAATAAATATGGAAATAGTTAATGTCAATAAGTGTTTGTATAAAAGACATGTTAGATTATATGTGAAAAAACTGCGCCTCATGATTTTTCATGGGATTCATAGTCTTCTCAATTTTTATTCATCGATAAACTTGAACAATGTCTTTTGTGGTTTTTATAGACAATTGAAACTTTTGTTGAAGATTGTATTGATAAAAATGTAACATTATGTGGATGGAGGGAAGCCCTAAATCTTCCAGTAAAATGCATGGCTCACAGTACTTATCAAAGTTGCCCCACAACTTGTCAAAATTCATGTGCTGATCGTTATGCATCAACAAGGTATGTGTTTATTGAAAATTGAAATTCTATTTTTATGTTGATTTTTTGTCGCATCAAACAGTATTATTCTTTTTAGATGTGCTATACCCATTGCAGAAGATTGCATATGTGATGCTGGTTATATAAAAGAAGGTGACCAATGCATCTTGGAAAATGACTGTGGTTGCTGGAGAAAAGGAATGTACTATTCTAAAGGTATTAAATTGTTTTTATTCAACATTTTACATGTTCATACTCAAGTTTTGTTTTGTTTGATAATTTACTGATCATGCTGCTGACTTTGACTAATTTGCAATTCTTTTATGCCTTTACCCCAAAACAAGGTAATTTTTTAATTTTTTTGATTCAGGTTCTCGCGTAACAGATGATGATGAACACAAGACTTGTGTCTGTTTGGAATCAATTGGATTTAATTGCAGATGCGTGGATGGATATATAAGAGATGGTCGTAATTGTCGGAGTAAGTCTTTCAATAATTACTACTCCACTTTTGTGATTAAATATCATAGTACATAGTGTGCTTTGATTTTAAATTTGGATATTCTTCAATCATGAGTGACAATGCTACAGACCAATGTGCTTGAATATATTACTAAAACTCAACATTACACAGTTACTGTTCAATTAATACATATTTGACTCTAATTATACCGCAATCTGGAGTTATGCCATTAGTACAATGTAAGGTCATATAATATTCACAACAGCTTAACTGGTAATTTGCGCATTGGTAAAAGACCGTCAGCCCTCGAAAGCCCCGAAAAGCATGTGATGGTAATAATATATGGTAAGCTTTTTGACAACTTTTGAATCATGTTTGCTGATCAGTGATTGCACATGAACTTGCTTTGATAAAATTCTTAAATGCCTAACTAAGTGTTGAGCATTAAAGAAATTGTCGAGTATCTGTCAAGGCATGTGGATATTCCCCAGATCAAATATTACATTAAAACATTTTAAAAATCACTGATATTTTTTTCAAAGTTGAACCAATATTTAAAATTCAGAAACTTCACTTTCACACATATTCCTTGAATTTACTTTGTCTGATCAATAAACATTTATTCATTCCACTTCAGGAACTATGTGTTCTGATGATCCTTGTGATGAAGATGCAACATGCTCAGAGGATGATGGATTAGTTCAGTGTAAATGCAATCAAGGTTATCAAGGAGATGGTTATTCGTGTGGACGTAAGAACTGATTTATTCTAAAATTATATATGTCTTTGTGAAAACATCTGAGCTTACGCATGGCTTACATTGAAAATGCAACTTGTTACAATGATAACTAGGGCCATGTTTTACACAAATTCCGAACTATCGGTATCGACTAATTTTACCAATAGTTATCGGCCAATCATGTGACTGCCAAAATGTCAAAATTACACTGGGAAAGCAGTTTTATCGCTTGTTTAATTGAAAACAGTTCTGCTTAATACTCTTTTTCTATGTTTGACTACTGATATGTCTCTCTTATCCAAAACGGACGTGTGGCGCGGGATTTCACACTTTGTGCGAGTTTGCGAGCATGGTGGCTTGCAAATTGAAGCGAGATAAACACATGTTCGACCTATTTGTGTCAAATGATATACGTTGGAATAATAAAGAATTCTCGCCGTTTCCACTTTCCACAGCGCTTGGATTTCCCTTTCGCTTTAGTTGTTCAAGGCGCGATTTAACTTCTTGTATTGATATGGTTTAGATGGCTGGTTCTAGCGGTAAGTGCAAAGTATGGGAATACTTTGTGTGCCCTATTGATGGCGTAATTTGTAAAATGTGCTCATCATTATTAAGTCAAGGTTCTGCCAATTTGAAAAAAACGCCAGTAATTTGTAGAGCCATCTTAAAGCAAAACACAAGAGCAAGTTGGAGATTGGAGCCAATGCAGAAAAGCATTGAAGCCAATGCAGAAAAAACTGCTTTCTCAACTACAACTTGAGACTGTTGAACTGGAGCTATTGAGATTTATAAGCTTCCTGCTCTTACAAAAAGTGTTCTTTCTTGCCATGCATACAATTTTCCTCGGCACTGTGGCTTTACACTGATAATTTCTAACATAAGGCGTTGAAAATCGCTTAACTCAGTGATGCACAAAGAAAGTTGTAGATACATTTTTTTGTCATCATCGCATGAGTTTGAACATTTTGTTATAGATTTCATTTCCTATCCAATAAAAACACAAAATTCTCAAAGTGTTGCTTGTTACTTGTAGCCATCTTTTTAGATGAGGAAACATCGGTATCGACTAATCGGCCTAATTTTAGAAAACTATCGGTATTGGTTTAAAAAGGCAGTATTCGTCGGGCCCTAATTATGACATTATAAAAAAGAATAAACTGAACATGATGACTTGAAACTGTACTTGGAGATGAATACAGTATTGTCCAATCAAATGTGATCACTATTTTCTTTTCTTTTAAATATTTTGCATTTCGCATATTCAAAATTATTTGTTTGTGTCTTGATCATATTTATTAATTTTAGCATTGTGCGATGATGTTGCTGAAATAGAAAATGGATTTATAGTTTATTCTGGAGAAATTGAATCAACTGCAGGGTATAAAGCCACTTTTTGGTGTAATTCTGGATATGTTTTAGTTGGAAATGCTGAAATAATCTGTCAAGCAGATGGATTTTGGTCTGGAGCCAATCCAACTTGTGAAAGTAAGCTTATTAATTAATGTATTACTATTTGCCAGGCAGATGACAGTTCATATTTGCTTTTTAAATGCCGAAAATATACGTTAATCAAATTAGAGTTGAACATGTAGACTTCCTGGTCTAAATGCATGGTATTCATTCACATTGAAGTTTTTGGTAAATAGTTTGATTTTTATGAAAACATATTGTGTAACCTTGCTCAGAAGAAAGATAGGTCTGACTAAATAGGATTATATACGACTATAGTCGTAGCTATCTTCGCTGACTATGATGTTGTGATAGAATCTGAAAGAAGAAGAAGGTTAATGATTGTAAAGGCATTATTTATAGTATTTGTTTTTTTTTGATGTAACAAAACAGACAATGATAATATCATCAGTTATGCATTTAAATATAATCTCTAATATCCATATTCAAGAATTTATTATGCAATTTCATTGAAATTTTCACCTAACTCGCATGAATTGAGACAAAAATCACTCAGTTAATGCCCAAGAGAAGAGAATTCCTAGAATGAAATTCTTTTAATATAAAACTTTATCTCCAGATAGTTGTTTTATTATGTAAAACTGACATTGTTTTAAGAATGTTTCACCAATCTTTGTCAAAAAATAGTTGTATAACCTGGTAATTAACGAAGGCTGTTGCATATATTACTCAGATAATTACAATATCTCAGTTTATCTGCAATTGGTGTTTAATTGTTTTTTGTATTAAAATAAACTTAATGTAAAATCTATCAATCTATCTACTAAATTTCAATTATAGTTTATTCTATTATGATAAAAATGGGCATATTCATATATATATATATATATATATCCCAAGGTATAGCTATGCTTTATATTTTAAACCAAATAACAATAATGCAGAGCAGCGTATATTATAGACAATCTTGAATTGTTAAAAATTTGATGCTGTAGCTGAAGCTTTTCTAATTCATTTTTGTTTTATTCTGAAATATGGCCATAGTTCATGTTTGTGCTTCGTTTTTATTCGTTTACTTCAGCTTCAGTCTTTGAATTTCAGAAACATTTATAGAGGATTGCACTGCACCGAAAGTGTATTCCGATTGTGCATCAGCTTGCCCTGCGTCATGTCTTGATAAATACGACATTCCTTTAAAACCATGTCCAGCAGTGTGTTTGCAAGGATGTGTATGTCCAGAAGGAATGGTTTTATTGGATAAAGACAGTGATATATGTGTCAAATCTTCTGAATGTCCGAGTAAGTTACTGTCAAGTATTGTGTTCCTGTTTTTGCCGCTATTAAAGGGCTTTATTAAAATGAATTAAATATAATAACAAAAGTATGGCTTGGTGAAAATGTAAAAAAAACTGTATTTAAAAACATTTAATCATAAAATAATCAAGCAAACATTATTTTTTAGAACGAGAAGTATGCAGAGCATGGGGAGATCCACACTATATTCAGTTTGAGCAAAGTAGTAAATATGATTTTATGGGATTGTGCACGTATGTCATGTCAGAGTCTGTTGGATTTGAAAAATCCAGTGATAGATGGTTTGCTGTTCATGTTGAAAACGAGGAGCGTTATAACAGAACTGGTGTTTCATGGGTGAAGAATGCAAGAATACTTCTTAGTGATGGATCTATTGACATTTTCCTCTCGAGAGATGGCGCGAAGGTACTGCATTCTAATTCACATGTTTGTGTGAAGCATACATTTATTTATGCAAAGATGTATCCATGCAGTGAATTGAGTTCTAGTTTCGGCCTTACAAGATCACCACGTTTACTGGTCCCTTTTTCCCTTTTTGCCTAATAATTCCCTAATATATTGAATATTATATTCTCTTTAAATCTTTGAAAAAAGGAACAATAGTGATGAAGAAAGCTAATATTGTCCATTTAAGACAGTAAAATTAGATCAATCGAGTAGGTTTTTTATTGCCATTCTGGCGAACAAGCACAATAGAATAAAACAAAAAACTTCAATGACCGAAATGGACAGGGTAACATGGTGGTCAACTCATACTATGTTGTGCATTTATGTTGAAATTATTTATGCAAATAATAAAGTTAAAATCATGAATACTTCCTTATTTTAAAAGTAGCTGTTATGTGAAGCTTTTATTTTATGAGGATTTATATCTATGAATAACATAATCTCATTCCACGAAATAGTAAGTTTATTATGAGATTTCGTTAGATCATAGTCTAATTTCTTTAGATAAAACAAAATATGGCTTAATAACAGCAATGAAAGCAATTTCCAGAAAAGGAAAATGGAAAAATATATATTGGCACTCTTTAGTCTAGTCAGCATTTTTCATTTTTGCTTCGGACGCTTGCAAAGTCGATTGATTGATCCAGCACTTTGCCTTCTTGTTCGTGCGGGAATTAGTGATTTAAATGTACTTCGTATGTTCGGACACTCGGACAGTTTCCTTTTGAGCGTCTTCTTTGTATTTCTTCACTAAAATTGAATTATAAAATAATGCTTTCTCCTCTTCATCATTAACTGTGACTTCTTCTTCATACTTGATGTCTTCACATAGAGCTTTCACGAAGTTGGCTGACATCTTGACAACTTTTTTTCCTATTTAACCATTCTCAGATTGCCCTTTGTGCCCATGAGCATCCAGATGTAATGCGTGACTAACTACGTTCAATCACTCCCAAACTCAATGAATTTTGCCAAATATTCATTTTTTTTAAATTTCTGTTCTCTGTAAAAAACAAAAAGGAAATGATAAATGTATATATATAACAGTTTAACGATGTGGATGTAACTGCCGTCAACCATCCAAGATTCACACTCAGATTCGATGGAAGAGCTTACACAGTAACAACTGATTGTGGAGTATCAATAACATATAATCCTAATGCAGTGATTATAAAAGTTCCGTCATCATACAAGGATCGGGTTAGTACTTAATAATCTCATTTTTGTTTTTAGTCTTTGGAGAAAAAAGAATTGAGAATCACTTGTGATTGAGGATTTAGATTTGAATATTTTACTTTCAAATAGAATTTCAAATATTAAGACTCCAATTCAAAATATCCGAATCTGCTTCTGTTCAGTTTAACACCATGTTTTTTGTTAAGCTTCTCAAATTGAAATGGATTATAAGTTGGTTTGTTATTAAATGATAATCAACTTAAGATTAAATATATTGCTTAGCTGCACAAAATTTATAATCTATTACAGGTGAGACACATTACGAATTATAAATTTTAAATTAGCAATAAACAGACATTGCAATGATGCTGTTATTATTATGCTAATAAAATGGTATGCCTATATAGTGACATATTTGTGAACTTTCGAACATTCCGAGTATATCAATAAAATTGTGCAAAACCCCTTATTCTGTCCCTTCAAAACTGTGACATATACAAAAGATAACAGTATTTTCCAAATTGTCTAATAATATTACATTGATGTCAATTCGAATCACTCAAATTTGAAATTTACATCTCTACTTGTGAAACCTAAAAGCTCAATTGATTCTTACATAGGAAGATTAGTTGATTGCTAACCTAATCTTTAAAATTCAGGTTAGAGGTCTATGTGGAGATTATAATGGAGATTCATCAGATGATCTTACAATGTCAAATGGGGAAGTTACTGATAGCTGGAATCAATTTGCATCAAGTTTTGTTGTTGGAAAATGTGATCATGATATTCTGAGTCCAGAACCAAAATGCACAGAAGAAGACAATGCCAAATGGCAAGTAAATTTAGTGATATTATTTTAATATCTGTAGTTTTGTCATGTTCAAGGTTTTATTTGCAGTTGCACATCAAACCGCATCTCTAAAGTTCACTTCATGAATTGAATCCTCCTCATGATACAAGATATAAGAAAACAGTCAAATATATCACCCTGTCATTTTTACAGTTTGCCCAAATACAGGATATTTTGAATCAATTGTGCATACAGAGAATAATGGCGAAAAATTGTGAACGCAATCGTATTGATATTAGAACAGAAATAGAAGCATGTGTCATGCATTGATATGTTCATTATGATAAAAACATCAATTTTTAATTTGTTCAACAGGTCTGGAAATGCATATTGTGGTGCTCTAACAGATGTTTCAGGGTTTTTTGGAAAATGTATTAGTGTACTAGACACAAAGACATACTTTAAAAGTTGTCTTTTTGACATGTGTGCTACAAATGGTATTATACAAGTATTTGAAGAGGTAATTATTTTCTTTTTGTTACATTGAGCTCAAATAGCCAGATATGTTGTGCTCAGATTTGAATGTTGTGTTTACAGACTATAATCACATATATAGAGGCATGTGCTGAACATAATATAACTTTGTGCGGATGGAGGGAGGCGCTAAATCTTCCACCAAAAAATTGTCCTGACAACAGTATTTACGAAAGTTGTCCAGAAACTTGTCAGAAAATGTGTGCTGATTCCAGTTCTTCACCAAGGTAATTGATTTTTATTTTATAAAACTAATTATTTTCTACAACATATTCAATGCATATCAGTAAAACTAGCATTTTCTCAATTTAGATTTAGATTTTGTAAATGCGTGTAAAACTTTGCTTTGAGTGAATAACAAAAAATAAAATAATTTGACTTATGTGATGTTTATATTCAGATGTACTGATTATGTTATTGAAGAATGTATCTGTCATGACGGCTACCTAAAGGAAGGCAACAAATGCATCTTGAGTGGTAGATGTGGCTGCTGGAGAGAAGGAATTTATTATTCATTCGGTAAATATTTTCTGTGTTCTGTGTCTGTGTGATGTAATCTTTCTTCTTTGTTGTGTCCAGTATGGTCTCTATTTATATATTCAAAGAACTCTGATTAAAAGAACATATTACAAAAAAATATAACTCTACTAATATAACATAATTTTTAACCATCCTGAATTTTTTATTTTCCTGTTTATAGAAAGCAAGTCTGTTTTATTTAGAATTTTTTTATTTTGTTTTCATTGAGATTTTATACTTTTTTTATTGTTTGTTATAGTTTGTTGCATAAATTACATGAATCCTAAAAATGTGGGCTTTTAATGAAAAATCATTTCAGTTATGCCATGCCATCAGTGATGATATTAATGATATCAGTGAATACTCTTCTTTCATTCTTGATTTAAGTGAATTTCTATATGACAGAGTCAAAAATTGAAGATGATAGAAATCACGAAATTTGCTATTGTTCATGGGATGGTGAATTTGATTGTACTTGTAAAGATGGATATATAAAGGATGGAAACAGATGCAGAAGTAAGCTTTTTTTATTGTCATGGAATGTAAGTTTTAAATTGACAAAAAGGTTGTTTTTAGGGAGTTCTCAAAGTGCTTCTTTTAAAGCAGGCATGTCCAACCTTTTTAGTGTCGCGGGCCACTTTTACATGGGGAAATTCATTGCGGGCTGCAAACATTTTTACCAAACTTAAATACCAACCCAATTCCGATTTGAGTTCGAATTTGAGCGTCGCTATAACAAACGCCTGGATTGCACAACACTTTTGCGGATTTCTGAACACAAGATGCATACAAAGTCCATGAAATTCAACTCAACTTTCATGCAAAATGCACATACATAGGCGTAAAAAATGAAGGAAAAAAAAAGAAGTCAGCAATTTTTCTAGTGCGAAACTTGCATTCGATCATCATTACTCAACTGTTTAATATCAACGGGTAGCTTTGATACCGCACAATGTAACTAACTGGCTTGTCAAATTTTTGTTCGTCAGCGTACTCCTATATGCTTCGACTCCATGATTTTCAAATTATAAGACTTCAAACTCGAAAGAGATTTACGGTATATTAGGCATACATCGTTGTCTTACAACTCTTCCCAATCCTTTTGATATTTCTGGTTTTCATCCTCAAGCTTCATATTTTTTGTTCCAGACATACTGGTGTTTTGTTTTTGTGGTTCAACAACCATCAATAAAACAAATGCCGTTATGTGACTTCAACCTTAATGACTTCACAATGGATAGCAAACTCAATGTATCGCCACAGATGTTGCCCTTTGAGTGGCCCTCTGTGATATCATATTCTAGGCGCTTAACAACGCTTGCTTTTCTCGTGGCGGAGTAGTGTGAAATTATAGCCTAAATTCTAGTAAGGTTTGATATCATACCAGATAATTTTCATGTTAAATATGTTTATATGTCCGCATTTATATAAAAACTTCAAGTGCGCCGCACAAATTGTTCCTGTGGGCTCATGCGGCCCGCGGGTTGGACATCCCTGTTTTAAAGCATACAATTTATATATCATTTAATGATATTGTATTTCTGCACCAGCATGTGATTTATGAATTTTATGGAACAAACGATAGCAAATCACTTTGAATGATATTAAACGTTTTTGCTACAAAAATATGTATCACAATTATTCTCATCCACATATTCACAAGACTGGTAAATTTTCCCCAAAATATGCCTTTTACTGCCAAAACGCTAATATTTTGTATAACATTGCAATATTTGTCAAAAAGACAAAAATAGTTTATTATCATGAACACTAAAATTGTTTTGAAATCTTATGCAAAATGTTAGGCTGCAAGAGAAATGCTGAGAATCTGGTTCTATGGTTTTTTGTGTATATATTTTCAAAAATTCAATAACAGATCTATGCTTATCATTTTTCTTTTTTTTGTTTAACCTTCTTCAGTGGTCATGAATTTTTCAAATGTTTTTTCGAAAAAAATCGTTCTACAATCGATATCATTTCACAGTCAAAAGACAAGCTGTGTTCGATAAGATAGTTTTACCTGAAACTGCGATATTATGCAAATTGCTCAAAGCAGAGTTACATGAACCTTATAATAACAGGAAAAACTGCTGATCCAATTGTCACTAATAGCAATATCCTATTTTTATCCATTAAAAATAAATGCCAGTAGGCAGAGGTATTTTTGGTGAGGGGGCAGTCAATAATATTATCCATAAAATAAGTTAGTAAATCTTCATTTTGTCGATGTGAATTTTACAAACTTGCTGCTTGTATTGGTCCAATCATATTAATATCTGTTAATCTATCTCAATTTGTTTGGAGATTTCAAGTACAGTCTTGAGAAGACCATAGTTCAAATATGAATAGTGCAAAGTGAAAATAAGTTGAGGAAAATATAATATGATATTAAATACAAGTAATATAATATTTGTTACAGGAATGAGATGTTCTGACAATCGTTGTGATGAGAATGCATCATGCAAACGTGTTGATGGTATAGCCCAATGTAAATGTGACCGAGGATACAAAGGAGATGGATTTTCATGTAATGGTGCGTATCGAAGTTTATTCAGAATAATTGTAGATTATACAACATTTACACTGATATATTGTAAATGGTAACTGTGGGTGCCCAGAAATTAGGTGTTCATAACATGATATCATAGAAAGGTAACAAATAGAAGAAATATACTTTACCAGCAAATTAGTGCAAGTCAAATATACTTTTATGGTTTAATTCCTAATCACATTGAACTCAATAATTATATATTGTTTACTGCAAGAATGAATGTTACCCAATTATTGTGCATAAATTCATAATTCATAACAACACATCACTCTGCTGTAAAATGCATCATCGTACATGCTTTTTGACATATTTTATTCATTTCTTCAAAAATGACAATCTTTGCACACTAACACAAATGTATTTCTGTGGCGTTTCATGTGACCAAAGTCGGACTTCCTCAGACAAACAGTTTACAACTATGACAAGAAATGAACAATCTCGTGGTTTAAATATAGCGATAAATAAATTTGTTTAAAATTGAATGAATGATTGAAACTATGAATAAACATTTAATTTATATTCAGCCATAAAATAAGGTTCCATTACATTTGCATCCACGTACATTTGAACCCATGACAATTGCACCTGTATGCTATTGCACCTATGGAATTTTTTTTGTTTCACGGATAGTTAAACCCATACTAACCCTAACCCATGGGTTTTAGCACCCGCATATAGATTGAACCCGTGGATATACGCATGGGTTCAAATGTACATGGGTTCAAATGTACGGTCACCATAAAATAATGATGCGAAAAGCAGAACCATAAATATCTGTCAAGTTTATTTCAGATGTGAAAGAAAAAATATCGCATCACGAAAATAAAGCTTAACAAATTGTAATTAAAATTATAATTATGAACACTTGAATGACAATAAGAAAGTCAATCAACATTAAAATGCAATCAACAAATATCTCGGTTTAGTGAGATATTTAATAAGCTGAGGTATTTGAAAACAATTTGAAAGTAAATTGAAGTGTTATTATTATAAAATTGTAATCCTACCTAAATAACGTTAAAATAATAATTAATATTGCAATGAACTAATGGTTATTGAAATTAAACTTATGGACACTACTGTATAAAAATCAGAGAGTGTTCTTATCTGATCTGTTTTTACTTTTATTTTTTCATATTCAAAATATAATATATTTTTGCAGAAATACCTTGTCCTTTGCCAAACAAGCACAAGGTTGCAATAATATCAAGTGGAGATGGACCTTACTACCCTGGTGATGTTCTAAAATACAAGTGTCCTCCCAATTATAAACTCACAAGCGGTGGAAGTTTGACTTGTCAATTTGGGGCATTCTGGTTAGGACCAGGAGTGGAATGCAAAGGTAAGTTTGTGAGAATTACAAAATGGAGAAATATTATATAGGAGCAATACAACTGAATTTTTAGTATGCATGTATACACTTACATTAATGTGTGTGCTAATTTCATCATTGCAACAAAGTAGTTTTTGATATTCTAGTAGGAATATTGGAAAGGGCATTGTCATGAATATGAATTTAATAAAATGTCAGTAAATTTTACTTCAACCCCGATTCACAACCAAAAATACTGTTTGCTCTAGAGTGAAACCCAGTATCAATGATGAATTCCTAATATATTATACAAATAAACTAAGCAATGCAATTTGAAGAAATTATCAGGTTGAGTCATGAATCTTTGTTATATATCCAATTATCAAAATAGCAATCCTTCCACTTTAAAGCGAGGTTGATTAGGCAGTCTGTGAGGTTAAATCACAACAACAGGTATTTTAAATCTCAAGCCTCTTGTTTTCTTAAATTGTAAATGTCAAAATATTTTTCTTTTTGTTCCTTAGTAATTATTTTTCTCTTCCAGCTTTGTGTGATAGAGTTGCTGAATTACAAAATGGTCAAGTAACATACAGAGGGAAGATGCCTTTGACAGCTGGTCACATTGCTGTTTACAAATGCAATGAAGGGTATGTTTTATCAGGTGATAAAGAAAGAACTTGTGGATCGAAAGGAATTTGGACAGGATCTGATCCTTACTGTGAAGGTTTGTTATCTATGCTATGATTAACATGTTAGCAATCGTTGATTTTGTTTTATATCAAATCTTTATAAATTATTTCAAGCATAAGAGATAATAAAAATAACAAATATATTTTCAGAAAAAACTCTTAACTATAGAAAACTTGTTGCTACAGCATAAACAATATTGAGTGGTTTGGTACATTTTGTACCATAAACAAAAAAAGTTAAGATACGCTATGATTTATCACAATGAAATACCATAGATTATTGAAGTAATGCTTGTCACCTCTTATGTATCTTTCATCATACCAATGTTTTTTATATTAATCGTAATCATGAATTAAAATATCATGTAAGTTCCAATTTATTTACAAAAAACTGGCATGTCAAATGTAATCGCCCTATTATAATAATTTTAGTTTATACATCTATACTATTTGCAGAAATATGTTCACCTCCTCAAATTTACTCCAACTGCGTATCATCTTGTCCTCAGACCTGTGATACACTCGGTCAAATGGATCTGCCGTGTACATTACAGTGTAATAGAGGATGCAAATGTCCAGATGAAATGGTTCTACCTAGCAGTAGTTCAGCTACATGTGTACCCATACAATCTTGCCCTAGTAAGTTGAAATATTGTAATGTTGCCATGCCGCAAAAGTTAATGGGCCAGAAATTCCATTCATTATTGCCTAATATTACTCTCTACCTCTGGTTGTATTTCAAACTTTATTTCAACTACTGAATCAAGTTGGCGGTGTGGCTCACTGGGCTAAGCGTTGGGAATACGCTCGCCACCGCACCTCTAATTACTCTGCGTGGGTTCGCAGGTTCGAATCCCATGCAGGGATGGTTATGTGCGAGAGAATTGCTGGACTCCTCGCCGTCGTTGGGTGGTTCACGCAACCGCTGGTCCGTTACGGCTTCCTCCACCACCAAGTCCATGCTTCTGAAAACAAACAATATAACTAATCCCATACCCGACTTGGAATGGTAAGCCGTCTTATCGGCTTTCCCCTCCCCGGAATAAATATGTAAATCCTATCCTTATGATGTGAGGCACAAAAAATTGTCAAGTTGATTTTACTTGGAGACTGAATATTTTAAAATCATTACTTTAGTTGTCAGTCATTTATGCGTCCATCATTCAATTTGTGATATTTGTGCATGTTCATAATCATAAAATTCGAATTTCAACTATTAACTACTAATTAATTTACAGTTCTATTTATTCCTGAATATTTTTCAAAGTTTACACTAAATTTTCAATGTATACATTTCTAGAACAACGTTGTCCTCTGCCAATGAAACATGATGTTGCCATTATCTCTACTGGAGATGGTCCTTACTACACTGGAGATGTTATTCAATATGTATGCCCAAGTGGATACAATCTGGTAGGTGATGGAACATTAACCTGCCAAAAAGGAGGTGTATGGTCTGAAGAGGAAATAAACTGTGAAAGTAAGTTCATGAGAATGAATCTATTAAAAGAATACTGATAGTAAGCAAACTCACAACAAATAACAATCAATGTATCATGTCTGATCTTATTTTCAAAGCATTTTATCTTCTTAGCTGCTCTTGACATAGGTTGTTTTAAAAACAACGTACACTTTGAAATTAGGTGTTAGCTACAAATATAATGCCGAAGTAAGTATTTATGTCTGTAAGGTAATGCATAATAACCATAATTTACAAATTGAAATAGACCATCATTGACAAATGTAAGGTATCTATGACTTATGAATCAAAGCTTTTAAATATGCTTGTCACTTCTTATAGTTTGAATGTGTTCATACTTCTATTATACAAATTTGTGGAAACTACCACCATCTATTTGGTCAAAGCTTTTAACTATTGAAACATTTTCAGCTCTCTTTTTCTCAACCTCATCTCGGATTCTGATACTCAAATTCCAACTCAGACTAAAGTAACAGCAATCCGAGGCCTCTAATTTATCAGCGAACAGTACTTTTGCCCATATACCTCGTGTGCAAACAGCTGATATGAAGCATAGTGCCCGTTGTTAAATTAGATTTGACAAACAGCAGTTGCCAACCTGACATCACGACACAAAAGATGAAATTATAAGTCTTAATTATATAACCACAAGCCACTGCACAGTGTGAGGAGAGTGTACTGCGATTATTTTTGATGCATTGCATCCCAGAGCATATCCAAAATTATACACTAAAACTAGATAGGCAAGGCTAGTTATTTTTTCAGTTGTGAAAAAAATATCATATGAATTTTTATATTCTGAGTGATTCAAGAGTCTTGCTGTACACTGGCACAAATATATTTCTACAGCGATTGTATCTGCTTCAAAATATTTCAAAATTTGTTCTGTCCATGACATGAATGGATTACAGGTAGGCTTACTATACGTCCCGGTTTAGCCGGGACAGTCCCGGTTTTGACAAGCTGTCCCGGCCGGTTGAATCAAATGTCCCGGTTTGTCAGAACGGCTTTCATGGGTAAAAAAATTATATTCAATATTATCACAATTTTTTTTAACGGTGACAGCCCATTTACCACTGTTTTGCTACACACTTTGCTAGTTCAGAGAGATAAATCGCTCTATTGTTATGTCACAATTGGTATATGTTTTAATGCGTTTTCTGGCGTTAACTGCAATGTCGTTAGGTTGTCGAAATGCCAAAAAGAAAGTACAAGTTTTCTGATGAGTTGAAGAAAGATTTTCCTTATTTGAAGCAAACTGAAGAAGGAAAGGTACACTGTACGCATTGCAGATCTGTTTTTCTATTAGTCATGGCGGTCGTTCAGATGTCAACGATCATATCCAAAGCAGGAAGCACCTCTAAATTAATTTCAAATTTTTTTGAGGCTAAATTTGCATTAACTTGTAAATATACACAGTTAGAATTTCTGATGTCCGCTGTCTGATAAGCGGATTTGCTGATTTTGCACGTTCAGCCAGAAATAAATGAGAGTCGGTGCATTGCTCCGCTGTTCTCCTCTGAATTTAATGATGATTTACTTCAAACTCGAATGGCAACGAAACGCAGAAAAGTTGATGCTAAGTGCAAAGGGTTCAATGGCGCTGAAAATATTCAAATGGAATTTTTTGAGATGCAATGAGGAAATAAATCTATATTCTATTCGAGATATGTATCACTGCTTGATTTTTAATATAAAAAGTATCATCCGTTCAGTTTCAACTTTCTAAAAAAAAGGGGCGACCCGCCAATGACTCGCAATCCTTAATTTTGGCCCGCGGGCGACAAAAGGTTGCCGACCCCTGCCGTAGATGTTGCAAATATTCTGTCAGAGGTGAAGCTAAATTTGCAGGAAAAAAGATAAAGTCTGTTGGTTTCGTCGCAATCACTTGTACTTCTGGAATCTTAGGAACGCTCTGTCGAAATTGACGTAACTGTATTTAAAAAGAATGTTTGCGATTTTTACGAGAAATGTCTATCGTATATAGATAAATCCTACAATGCTGCCAGGCCACACATATGGACAAATTTGGGGTTTGGTATACCTTTAGTACCACATGCACTTCTAGTTGGCCTGGCTCAACAATTTTTGCATATGCCAATCCTAACCCCCACCTGACTACGTCACCGAAAAATTACGTCATTTCGACGTCCCATTGGCGTAATAAGGCCCACAAAAGTATGCGGATGGTCGTCCAAAACGCGCAGATGATCACCCGAAATCGAGTAAGCTATTTCTCTCGTTTTCCCGTCATAACGATCACGATAGGAGAGAGATCGCTGGCATCAGCGAGTTCGTAATCGGCGGCGCAGATGCCATTTCGGGCGATCGTAATTATACTTTGGCAAGCCCTAGGACGTGTTTGTGACGTCGTATTGCAGTATTGACGTAATTTTTGGATGGCATAGTCAGGTGGGGGTTAGGAATAACATATGCAAATTTCGTTTTGATACGCTAACTGGAAGTACTTGTGGTACTAAACTATCAGACTATACTAGACCCCAAATTTGAAGAGTGAAATAAACTGGACTGAAGTGTTTGGTCTGCAAAATTGGTAAATGATTTGTTTGGTTAGCTGATCAGGTTTTGAATAGGGATGCACTTTTCGACGAATACTGATAAAGAGATATTTCAGTATTTATCTGAGCATGGTTCAAATGCAATTTGGCTTACTTTGCTGGTTGAAATTAAGGGGACAGAGATGTTTAACGTTTTTTCTAACAGAAATATTAGCATTTCCAATTTGCAGCAAATTAGTTGATTTTGTTTTCCGGAACATCGGCATCTGCTGATCTGTTGAAAGGATGTTCTCCATTGTTAAAAAATTTTGGTCCGAAAGCAGGTGCAGAATGCCAGAAGAAAATATAAAACCACTTCGTAACCTGCAAATTTGATGGTGATGTCTCTTGTTATCAGTTTTATGACAAAATCAAAACAAGAATTTTTGAGAAAGGTTCCATCTGCGGACAAATACTTTTGGTCTAAACTAAATGAAAAATACAAACTAGTTTTTTGTGTTTTTTCTAATTCGATGATCAGTAGAGATTTACAGCCGTATATAGGTCTACCCGCAATGGCATGGTAGACGTTCCAATATTATCAAGACTGGCAATTGATCGAATGTTTGCCAAATCGCACCGTCCCGGTTTTTTGTTTCAGATTTATGGTAAGCCTAATTACAGGGAGAAAATAGTTGTGAATATTTTCTCATACCATGATTATAATATTGTACTTTCATTCTTCCGATTTTATTTTTTAATATTCTAAATACTTGTGTACAGGGAGTCCTCGGGTTACGACGGTCGTGACTTACGCTGTTTCGAGGTTACGAACGCACTCCATAAAAATATAAGAGATAATACTGTACTGTAGTATTTGAGCCTTTAAACTGGATCAGTGTGATCAAGAAAATCAGTGCTTTGGGCTCATTGGTTTTCGTCATTTACATCGGAAATGACGTAAACAATTGCGAACTATTACGATCATAAACGAATAATCACTAAGCTTCAGTCATATGGTACACAGTTTCAGTGATACTGTACGCCATTTTAATTGTTCCGACTTATACTGTAATTCAAGTTACACTGCATCACAAGCACGGAACAGCGTCGTAAGTCGAGGACTCCCTGTATGTTGTATTTTTCTATATTATACCATTCTGTTTTTCTTTTCTTCAATTTCATAAATCACAGCTGATTGTTTCAACTGTGCTACTTCGAAATTGGTGAATTATTTTTTTGACATAAACTTTGTATTGTATGTTAATTAGGTGGCAGCTGACTTTGAATACCATTCAGGTGATACCTCCGTCTCCTAATTCAAACCAGAAATGTTGCAATAGTTAGCCTAACTGAACTTAATGAAGGACAATTATTAATTATTATCCATCTCTCATACTTGTTAGAAATCTGGTGCGGAAGGCCCAATGACATAAACAATGGCAATGCATTGTATGATGAAGAATACTTTGGCCTTGGTGATGTTGTGTTTTATGAGTGTAATGAAGGATATAAGTTAAAAGGTGTGACACAAAGAACATGTCAAAAAGATGGAAATTGGAGTGAAAATGAACCATTCTGTGAAGGTGATTTTTGTTATTTGGGACACTATGAAATAACTTGGATAGTTATAATGGAAGTATTGACTTTTCGAAATGGCATAATTGCATCGCATAATTGCATTTGCATAATTTTGGTGGTAACTAACTATTATTGTGAACAAATTTATTTTGACAACAGCTCCAGGAGATGGATGTCCTGCTCCCAAAGTGTACACAACTTGTGGAACTGCTTGTCCTGCAACTTGCCTTGATGAGTATGACATTCCTGCCACTGGATGTTTTCTATCATGCAATCCTGGATGTGTATGTCCTGATGGAATGGTGTTATTGGACAAAGACAGTGCTGAATGTGTAGAGAGAAAAAAATGTCCAAGTACATAGGATATATTCATTCATATACTATGAACTACTGAGTTATAGTTGAATAAAATACTCCAGATTATCATTGAACTTGTGCTAATATTTGTGAGGATACTGTTGGCGGATTATTTTAAAAATTTACATTCTTTTGTGCCACTCTGCTGACCAGAAACAGAACAAGCCTTCTATTATGGAACAAACTCAATTTCCTCTTTTTTGAATATTAACAGAGCGTGGAATTTGTAGAGCATGGGGAGATCCTCACTACACAATGTTCGAACAAAGCAGTAAATATGATTTCATGGGACTGTGCACTTATACAATGTCTGAATCCGTTGGCTATGAAAGGACAAGCAAGCAGTGGTTTGCTGTACACGCTGAAAATGAAGGACGCTTCAACAGAACAGATGTTTCATGGGTTAAAAATGTCATAATACAACTTGATAATGGTCATGTGGCAATAGTAATAGGAAAAGATGGTTTTGAGGTACGAAATTTTCCAATGAAGGTTATGGTGAAATGCACTTTATTTCTCTATTCAATTCCATCTAGTTTGGAGCAGATAAAAGTAACTCAAATGCTATTTATTTACAATGGTTGCAGGCCAAGACTATATGGCCTGATGCCTGAGTAATCAAAATTCAGTACGTCAATCACACGTTATGTTAGGAGAAGTTGTGATTATTTACCATTCTCTAATTATACACTTAACAGAACTCAAAACCACTTTCATTTAAGTTTGTTTACTGTTCGTTCACACTTCAGCCCATGACAATATATATATATGTATATAATATATTCACATATACCGGTAATCATAATAAGTTTATTCACTGGGTTTCGGACAAAAACATTCTTTTTAGTTAAGAGTAACCCACCTATTTATTCTTGCTATCGGACATGTTTCTCTACTCAAACTGCCCTAAGTATTCTTCGCAAATCCCATTAACAGTAAAATTTTGTAGATATAACAATATTTTACCTTGCATATTTCTCAAGATCAAAGGTACAAAGACATTACAATCTCGATCATCGTTATACAAACTGAGACATGATGGAAAGAAATATACAGTAACCACATCGTTTGGAGTAGGTATATCATACAACGGAAATGCTGTATTGATTCGTCTTCCAGTCTCTTACAAAGGAAAGGTATGTATGCAGTGTGTTAGACCTTACCATACTGCAGTGCCAGGGTTGTATGACAATAGCAAACTCCAAATTGTAAAAAGTCACATCATTAAACCGTTAAGTGCCAAATGTTCACAAAAAAAAAGTTTACTTAGCAAAACATTCAAATTAAACTCAGATATATCATCCTTATTCAAGTCCATACCACCGAAAAAATCCAGACTCTTTTCAGGCCGTAATTATTATTTGATTTAAGAACAGTTTGACAGTTAGCTCATTTTTTAAGCATTTGGACTGCACACTCACCTTTACAAAATAATTTAGTGATATTCTTTATCCACATGAGGTCAGTACACATAACACTAATATTTGGTAAAATTTATAATCTTTACCTTTGAAAAAAATAAATTCAGGTGGAGGGTCTGTGTGGAGACTACAACAGTGACCCTTCAGATGATTTGAAAATGAAAAATGGTTTGATGGCTAAAGATTTCTATGAATTTGCAACAAGTTATCAATTTGGAAAATGTAAATCTGTGAAACCTTCAGACTCTGTTCCAGTGTGCTCAGATGGTGACAGAGCAAAATGGTAATAAAATTTTAAATGCAAATGATAGATTTATGATAGATTCCATTAGACTCATTTCAACATGAACCAATCGAGAACTCTCCTATAATTTTACTTTATATTGATTACAAACTAGTATATCCACTTCAATAGTGATATCATAACTCAATTTGTAAACATTTTGAGTAAGACAGTACAAATTAAAGAAATTGACCTTGAAATAGTAGACACAACAGGCATAATCTCTTTTATTACAAAATATTTAATGAATATTACAATTTATTCATAACAGTAGTTTCAGCCAATTTTTATTTCACATTGGTATTGATTGAAAATATGCTGTTGTTTTTCCTAGGTCTGTGGATGGAAAATGTGGGGCAATGACTAGCAAACATGGCATTTTGTCGGAATGTGCTTCTCTTATAGATGTCCAAATGCATGTCAAAAATTGTGTTTTTGATATGTGTGCAACACAAGGACAAACAGAGGTCTTAATTCAGGTAGAAATGCATTGTACTAAACTTTTTTGAAAAAGCTACTAATTTATATCGGAGAGAGAATGGTGTTTGGTGGCTAGTAGAGCCAAATTCAGAATGAGAGTGAGGTTTACTGAATAGGACAGGTTCATGCATTATGCTGAATATTTGAGTTTTTATCTACCTTTTCCTTTCCTAAAAAAATAATGTGTAATTAAATAGTTTTTTCAACAATCAATTTAGAAAGAGTATAAATGAGCTTTTGAATAGGTTTTCACTAATTTTTTTATCTGGAATATAATTCACTAAACTTCACAAATGCCAGAGTCTTCATATGTATAGATGAACAAGTCCAATGAACAATGAATAAAAAAGGTTAAATATATACAATTATAAGTATTGGAAGTATAAAAAGTATTCTTGACCAGGATATATATGAAAAATAGCCAAACCTTCAAATAAAATAAACACCATAGTAGGAGCTAGAGATAGAAATATGCTAGTGAAGATGAAAAACAGACTGTAGTGAAGCAAACGACGCTACTTACTAGCATAGAAGTATTCACTTGCTGACACGCACTGAGAAGTGTGGACTCTTGTGCATACAACCTCATGCACATTTTTTTTCGTAAAAAGTCTTGCTAATCGTCATTTCGGATTTAGTGAGGTATGATTGCTCAGCCAGTACTCAAACAGTTGATAAACTTCATGAAAGTTTTTCCTCCTAGTTTTCAATACTTCGGTAAATTTTCGTAGGTGCAATTAAAAATTTGTCTGTTTTGTTTTAAAATTTTATATTAGGCATTGGAAGAATTTGTAGCAGACTGCAGAGATCATATTGATGGGTTATGTGATTGGAGGGAAAGACTTCGCCTTCCTTTGCCAAAATGCCCAGCAAATAGTAGTTACCGTGGATGTGCAACTGGATGTCCTCAAACTTGTGCAGATCTAGAATCTCGTTCTGCCAATTTCAGGTAGAATGTTGGGATTTTAAGGGATATTATCTAAATTTTGTCAAACTATTTTGGACAAAGATTATATTGAATCCCTATGTAGGTTAAACCAATGAATTTTACATGTATAACTTTTGCATTGAAACAATATTTTTTCATAATCATTAGAGTAATTGGGCTCTTGATCTGAAATTCAATAACAGATTTCAATATTTTAAAGAATGTCTTCGTTCACCGCTTATTTATTTATCTTATTAACCATTCAAACTTATTCAAAATATGACTTGACTACTGAGTGTAGCTGATGAAAAGTTTCATTCATATAATTTACCGTAGCTGACTGTTATTATTTTTGGCAAAAATAGTTCATTGATAAACCTCTCCAACCACTGATCATTTGTGTTCCACTATCTCATAGACTGGTATTTGAGTGGAAGTATCAGCCTCCATATTTAGCTTGTAAGAAGTGTTCATATTTACATTGATCTTCGTTCAGTTACCAGTCCAGGTCGATTATGAAATTGATATGATGTCTAAACTATCAAAATGACAAGTCACATTATAACTTCCGGTTTACAGCGCTTCACTAACGTACCATATTTTACGAAACCATCAATGACAGAGAAAGAACCCAGTAATCTTCTTGTAAAATAACATTCAACCAGCATAAAAAAAATTTTATATAAAAAATGTAGGTGCAAACAGCCCCAGATTGACGGATGTGTGTGCAACGATGGTTTTATCAGGGATGGACCAAATTGTGTATCGAAAGAAAACTGTGGATGTTATCACATGGGAATGTACTTTCAAAAAGGTGCATAAATCCATTAAAAGTTGAATATTACTACAAGAAATGTATTCTATTTGCTCAAACTGAAATATCCTGTAAATATTTATTGTAAGATCATAACTGCAAATACCGACGCAACTAAATTTTCCTGTGAAAATATTTTCTCAAAATATTACAGACCGCATATAAAGATAAAATAACTGCTTTGCTTTGAAAAGCTGAATTAAACGTTTAGATTTTATGAGTGAGCCATTTCAATGATTTCAGAGCATTTTACATATTCCAAGTCTAGGGATGAACGTCAACTTCGATACAGCATGTTTAATATGCTTGTTTTGACCTACAACAAATTGCTTATCATAACAGGCCAAAGTTGGTATCCACCAGGAACATCACAGATTTGTGAATGTGTATCCACCGATGAGGTCAGATGCAAATGCATAGATGGTTATAAAATTGACTACGATTCCATGACTGGAGAGATGAAATGTATTGGTAAGAAGTTTATTTTACTAGAAATCATACTATCAAAGAACATTTCCTGTTTATGTGATTTCATGATGATTGCTTCATGCTAACCTACTATTATGTTGTAACTAACCATTATTTATGAAGAAGTGTGTATACAATTTCAAGCTGTTCTGTTCTGGTTAACTTGGCTTCACTAGCTAAGGTCTTTTCAGGTTTATTCTCTAATCATTTAATTTCCACTAACTGACATCTCTCGCAATAAATTATATGGTATATTTCAAAATTCAACATACATACAGATTCATAACTTATAACTTTTGTTGAACAGCATTGTCATGTGATGATAATCCTTGTAGCAGTAATGCCATATGCACAAATGAGGACAGAGGTTTCTCTTGTCAATGTAAACCAGGATACCAAGGAGATGGAAAAGTTTGTTCATGTATGTGGTTAAGTGACCTAACAGAGTATATTTTCGATGTTTAAATTCTATTGTAACACTTATCTATTGTAATATTACTCCATGTAGCTGATTATTTTAAACTGTAAAATTACCTGATTGTTAATAAGCCTTACCACCCGTTACCATTTCTTGCAGCAATATGTCCGTCAGACCAAGAGCCAGCAGCATGTGTATCACACTGTCCACAAACATGTGACATGCTGCACTCAATAGATTGTGAGCCGGGATGCGACCCGAACAATTTCTGCCAATGTCCTGAGGGATATGTGCATAGAAGTACCAGTGATCGAACATGTGTACTACCATATGATTGCCCTGTTATCGATAGTGAGAATATTTGAAATTTTTTTTTTTCTAGAATTTGCTTCAACTTAGTAAAGCCTGTAATATTTGGAATGAAACATTGCTCTTTCAGCTTCGAGATACATAGTATGAGATAAGATAGGATTTACATATTTATCCAAGTGGAAATGAAAGCTAATAAGATGGTTCATTCACATGGCATACTATGGCCTCTCATCTGATTACCAGTCAAAGTCTAGTATAGGATTAGTTAGCCAGTTTTCAGATGCACGGACTTGATGGTGGAAGAAGTCGTAACTTGCCTAGGGTTACATGAACCACCCAGCAGAGCCGAGCCCGAGGAGTTCAGCAATCCTTTCACACATAATTATATCCTCTCAAGATTCACTCTTGCAGCAATTGAAGATATATTTTATTATGTTTGATACATCCATTTGTTTCCTACATTTTAGATTAACAACAACCTTCAATATTGTGAAAATTTCAAGTGAAAAGCAATTAAATCTAAATATGCATTTATCTATCTTTATTACAGTAACCTGTCCCATACCGAATCCAATAGAGTACGGCAATTTTAAACTCAGCTCAAATCCACCAAAAGTTGAGGACATTGCTACATATGGATGTCAACCTGGATTTAAACTTGTCGGAAATGATGTTAGATATTGTCAGGAAGGTGGTATATGGTCTGGGGAACCACCTGTCTGTGATTTGGATAGTGCTGCCTTTCTTTTCGATGACTTCTTTTAGATATGAATGATTATGAGTGAGAAAGTGAGATTTTTATTTTTGTAATATAATATTATTTAAAAAAAGTTACTAAACTATGTAGTATGTACACTGTACAGCACAGTGGTTCTCAACCTGTGGTACGCATACCACTAGTGGTATGCGAGCAGCTTTGAATTATTGCAACAATTAACTTTTGAGTTGGCCAAAATATGGCTACAACGCTTTATCTTGTATGTATGTATTCGCTGAACGGCCTTTAGGAATGTTTCCCCAGGCATCAATTTACTTGTTTATTTCCGTAACAAGCAGCAATCAGTAAACATTGCCTCGTTTTTGTAGATTTGCGTGTTATTTGTCAGTTTTCAGTTGCGTTTCAAAAGAATAGTTGTGAATTAAATATCTTAATTGTTATCATGTCTTCAAAGGAGCATCAATTTAGTTGCTTAAATCAAAAATGAGTCTCGCAAATGACTCGATAGACTAATCTAAACTATGCTATCAGTGCCCGTAAGCGGCACATGGTTGAATAATTTTTATAAAAATATGGGTTTTCAAACATTTTTGAAATAGTAAAGTATAGGAAGAGTGTTTCTGGGGTCAAGGGTCAGAGAAACATCTTATGGACCAGTCCAGCCTTTAGAGATCGCCCTCGCCTGCTATTGTCCATGAAGGAATCGAGATGGGCATGTTTTCGTCCGTTTTGGAAATTAGGTTACTTAGGATGTAGTACCACGTTATAAAACACTCTCATGGCGCATGTCTTGTGCCATTGTTCCCTGCGCCAAAAGTGGCTTTTTCAGTGGTATGCGGCCAGAGTAAAAAGTAAAATTGTACGCGGTCAGTAAAACGTTGAGAACCACTGGTACAGCATAATGAAAGAATAATTATGATATAACATACGACGTGAATGTATTAGAAGGGGAATAACATGCATACGCTGGGTCCACCACCACCTGTCCAGTTAACAGTCCATGTTGGGTTATTGGCCAGCGATTATGTGAAGTAACCCGACAGTTACGACAAGTCCAGCAATCTTCTCTCGCATAATCATCCTCGCAGGATTTGAGCCTGCGGACCCACGTAGAGTAATCAGAGGTGCGATGGTGAGCGTATTCCTGACGCTTAACACAATACAATATCCCACAACCATTTGATGTATCAGTGTTAAACTGTATACAACAAGTTCAATGATATTAAACGTTTCCTCGTTTTGGTGTATTTTTAAATATTTTCAGTTCATTTTGCTTACATAAAAATATTTTTTAAGGTGAAATTCTGCAGTACGCTTCGTTACAATGACTGTTTTCCCGCCAGACTGATTGAACAGAGAACATCAAAAATAATTTTTGCAACGCTCTTTCTGGTGCACGCTATTTGCTTATATGTATGCTATCATAATTCGGTATTTGAGTTCTCATTGGTGGATGTGCTATATTCATGTAATTCTAATTGTCTGCCAGCAAAAGTCAATAAATTGAATTTGCTACAGTGCTATAATTTGATACATCACAAAACAATATATAATAAAAAATATATGTATCTAACTATATCAATGTTTGTTGAATTTTGATCAATATGAACTTTTATGCAAGAACCCTCTTTCCTGAGAAATCTGTTATGTGCACAGGTTAGGATTACTCGAATCCTGACACTCTCGAGCCACTTGAATCCAACGTCGCAGTATTTACAATATGGTTATGTCAGTGATAATTTAGAAATATCATAGGAGTCCAATTCAATTTGTCATAGGTGAAGTTATTCTTGTTGGAATTTTGGTAGCTATGAGTTTTAACAAGGTCAGCAGGTATACAAAAGCAAACTTCGCACACATGTATCTATTCATTTTTGAATCGCAAAATCGGTGTTGTTCTTGATTGTCAATGATCTTTAACTCGATTCCACCGCGGTATAAAAATAACATTCATTTAGGACCAGGTGTTTGCTTTTACGTATAGGTCATACATTTATGCCACTACGCTACTGTTGACAATGTTAATCGCCAACAGACATGCGCGTCCATCGCTTTCAAAGCTATTGGTGGGAATTTGGCTCATGTCAGAAATATTTCAAGTAAACATTTCATGAAGCGGCAGGTCTTTGAGAAAACCCTTGACTTGGAAATTCCGTTGAAATGTAGGCTGATAACCTTGATATTCCAGTAGCAGGATCAACACATATTGAGGGAAACAAGGCAGGGAGATCAGACAACTGGTTCTTAACTTAGGTGTCACGAGTCGCATCCGAGGTCAGAGCTCTGCGAAGCGTATCTTATTGCATAGTTTTAAGTAGGCCTATTAGTTTATTTCATCACCTCACTTCCAAATAAACATACAAACAGAAGATTGAGAAAGCTGCCAAAACGTGTCAAAATTTCACAGGTGACACGATTGGGCTGCTTTCGGCGTTTGTAATTTGTTCACATCACACTAGTCACACAATTTGAAAAATTGTAATACTACGTAGCCGGCAGGAACAACAATGCCAAAGAAATCCATACTATTCGTATCTCGTTACCCATAAATTTACTGGACATAAAGCCGACTCATGGATTGTTTCGAGTCGCACAGTTTGCTGAAGTTTTCATCGTTTGTATTTTACTGGACATGAAGTCGACTTAGACATCGTTTTGACCCGCGCAGTTTGCTGAAGTTTTTATTGTTTTATGTTTTGCATTTTATTGGAAATGAAGCGGACTCATGCATCGTCTCGACCCGTTCAGATTGCTGAAGTTTTCACTGTTTTTTATTTGAAAGTTATTATCTGATCTTGTATCGTGTGTGATTCTTTTATTGTGTTTTTTGACTGTTTTTGGTTGACGGGCCTGTACTTGTACGTTTTTTTTACCTTGGTGCTCAAAATTATGCCCGTACTCCAGGTACTATGCATTTGATTGTCCGTTTATTGTTGTTATGTTTTATGTTATAGTGGCCAAAGTAAATTGATTGACAAGTGTACTCATGTAAACCATTCTAACTTTTGTTTTCCATTTATTTCCATGGCAAATTCCACTAATTGTCTTGTTAACTTCGATTGGGTCGTCTCACTGCCATCGACACGCCATACCCTAACCGCATCATCGACTGCCAGTTACCAGTTGAATTTAGGATAGGATATGATTTAGGTATATATACCGAGGAATAGGGATACCGATCAGACGGCTGTATCGTGTGGTAAACCTACCCACGGTTTCTCGCTCGGTTGTCAGTTCATGTCGGGTATGGAATTAGTTAATCCGTTATTACTTATCGATCTCGATCGGTAAGAATGTTGATAGGTATTTGTCTATTGGACACTTAAATGTTACGCAATATCTCACGAAAGCAAGATTGAATCTGCTCCAAATTTGTATGTATGTACATTCATCATATCTTGGACCAGAAGCCTATTGATTTTGGATAAATTATGTCGTATAATTAGCGAGTTATTAATTAATTAGTGATGCAAAAGATCGATAAGTCGGCGGTCTCGGATTGCTATCTCGCTTTTCAGTTGCAGCGAACCCACCCACGGTTTCTCGTCGGTTGTTAGTCCATGTCGGGTATGGGATTATTTAGCCCGGTATTTTTTAGTTGTATTTTAGTCGTGGAGTAGATAGTGGGGGTATTCTAACCGACCAAGGTTGCCTGAACCAGCCTCAGGCGGCGAGGACGAAGAGTCTATAAATTTTCTCGTTATTATTCCCCGCGGGAACCTGCGAGCCCACGCAGAGTATTCAGAGGTGCTGTGACAAGTGTATTCCTAATTCTCAGCACGATGCGACCACTTTTATTTTTTTATATTATCACCTCCATTGCCATATTTGTTAACGTCATGATCTTGAATAAAAATATTTCATGCTTAGGGGTGTAATTTTTCAAGACTGAATTCTGTCAACATGATAGGTAGTATGGTTTATGGCGGGGCTCTCAACCGCCGGTACACGGACCGGAATCAGTCCGTGGCGGTCTCCTAGAGCAGGGCTGCTTGACAATTTTAACCTTCGATACCTCACGGTATTCTGCAAGCTGCCGTCGAACCAAAACGTTTTTTTGTTTTGTTTATGGCAATAGTATACTCAACCATTCCCAAAGGTGTATAAAGCGCCTTTTAGAATATCTAATGTTTATGTAAAAAACAAAAAACTTTGGGGAGAAGCCAGTCGAGCTCGTTGTCAAAAAAGAGATAGATAATTGTTTTCTCGTCATCCATACATTAGTTGATAATTAAAGAAATCATAAATCAAAAATTATAAAATTTCACAATAATACAAATTCTCAAATTTCAACAAGGAAAGCGAGATGACTATGATGTTGCCTTATCAAAACATCTTTCCGAAGAAGACGAATATCAACAGTATGTACTGTTTGATATCTACACCTGACAATCATGCTTGCACATGGTTTGGTAACACATGATGTTGAACAAAATTTAATAACAAAGAAGAGGACAAATTGTGAATAAGTGTCAATTTACTCTAAAAAAAAATGACCAAGCAGCAATAGTTAATCACTGTTTAATCGAAAACCACTTCATATATTTTTTCCCCAGGGATCCAAGGTCGTTCTCCCATGTATATCTGTCATTTTGAAGAACGCGATTAACCTTGGAGCTTCAATCAGCTGGCAAATTGGTAGCAATTTATCCAGTCGTGTCAATTTTGGAATATATTGTATTCGGGCACTAACAGCGTCGCTTTAGTAATGTCAGTGTTCATTTGCCTAGAGCTAGCAAGTTTTAGTCATGTACACACGTGAAATAAAATCCATTATTTCAATCTATGAGATGCTCATGTTGAATCAAATCAATGTGGGTGTTTTTTTATTTACTTTCTACTTTGAATATCACTGTTATTACTGTCAATTTGCAGAAAAAAATGTGCTCATTATTTCGTAAATTTCTTCGTCACTTTGGTTGGTTGGTCAATAATATTGTGTTATTCCAATCAATTTGTTGAGTATTACATAAGTACTTTTACAAATTAATGTGGCGACCTTGTAATAACGTAGTAAACGTAAGAAGATTGAGAGAATCAATAACCAGCACGGTCGGCAGAACGTATTGCTAAAATTAACCGTATCGATAGGGAAAGCATTAATAGTTGATAGCTGTGTAAAGCGTAAAAAGCGCTAAGATGACTATAGTTGAAATGTGCGACCGATTCAAAACAAACTATTAAATATTTCGTTGATTATGGTACTTTATTGTTTATTTAGTTGTATATCCAAGGTTTTGTACAGCTGTTTTGTAGAATGAAGGACAACCTTTGATGATGAACATATAAAATACGGTTATTTAAATAGTAAAATATATTTTTCAAACAAGTGAGAACAAAACTGACAAAGATGACTAATCTGGGCCGAATTGTGATGATTAATATTAGCAATATATCCAAATATAAGGGTTAGTCTTGCATATATAATTGGTAGGCAACTTTATTCTTATCAGTACAGGCAGCCACTTAGACTAATGATTTTCTATTTTTTGATGGAACGGAAGCATTTCAGACGCGTACGAAACCCCTGTACAATAAACTAACAATTTTCGAGATATGTACTATAAATATATATGTACAAAACAAAACTTGATTCTGGCGAAACGAAATGACCTATGAAGTGTTGCAAGTTTGGTACTAGTGGCAAACCTAATATATATTTGACAGTCTTTGCAATATGTATATAATATTATCGACTCTGAGATTTAAATGAAAAACTGCGGAACTCTTGGACTCTACTGACGGAACCCTGTGTTGCCGCCAAACTTATGATGAAGACCACTTGGACTTGGACATGCGAATGTTTTCATCTCTACATGATATTTCAATTTATCGCAGGATTGAGAATCGATTACTGGTACACTGTATGTTGGTAAGAGTCTTCAGCTGTTCTAGTTCTCCGAGCTTTCATCTTTCTTTGATTTATTTGCTACTCATTAAACAAACTTTATTTTCTAGATTTTCATTATGAATATTAGAGCCGTGTTGAGAAATGTTTTTGTAGTCACCCCAAAAAAATAGCACTAGGCACAATTAATATAAAAAGAAAGATTTACGATTAAGATTGTTAATTTGATTGTTTTTAATCTAGTATTTAATTTGTTTAATTGCCACAATAGTTTTACAGAGAAATAAGACTATAGATTAGTTCCAACCTCAAATCATCAAAACCAATTGAAAATGCGATTCAACGGAAATTTGTCAATCATAGCACATGGAGAAATTGAACATGGGTGAGTGACATAAAGGACGAGACGTCTTTGTTTGCCAACTTTGTGTAACATATTTTACAGCATTAGACTTGTTGTAGAATCATGTAGGTAGATATTTGAATCAAGTAGTGTTTCAGTTTATTACACTCCAAGTTTGATGAGTATAGAAGAATTACACAAATCGTTTACGAGCAGAGAATTAACGATTGGACTACGATTTTTCCCACATATTCCGCATGGAAAAAGCCTAAATCATATGGTCAACCATGGCACTCTGAAACTTTTTACAGTTAATGAATGAAGCAATAAAAAGCAGTTCGTTGTTTCAGATGTAAGGCTTGAATGGCTGATGGGGTTACGTTAATCAACTTTCCACGTGAATTGGTCTATCAATGTCATCCCTTGAGATTTGAACTTCCAAACCTACGTTGTGTGATTAGCGATGAATTGGAAAGCGTATCCATGCAGATGACCATGAATCATTGGCAATTGTCAATATTTGTCAAAAACAATATTATATAATATTTTCGATAACAACAAGCGACCAAAATCATATTTCTATAGCTACTCTGGAAACGACTACGTTAAAACTTATGGAAATGTACGAAATGATGTTGATACAGCATGGAGAATGAGAAGCGTCGATTTAATTATTGCTACATTCATGGCGTTGGTGGGTTTGGTGTCAGTTTTTGGCAATATTCTTCTCATCTGCACATTTTACAGGTAACTATATCTATTATATATAAATATATATATATATAAGTAAACAAATAGGTTCTTCGCTTACCTATACAGAAGGTCAAAGAGAGGTTAACAAACTAGGAATAAAGTCTAATAATTGTGATTTTGAAAAAGCATAATCACATAATAATAATCCGCAATTCACAGTTGCCAAAGTCTGAAGAAGAAATCCGCCAACGTCCTCACGATACATCTTGCTGTCAATAATACCTTGGTAGGGATTGTTGCATTGAAAATCGGGACATTATTGTTTTTGCAGGATACTGGCCAAAAAGGTCAGTACGATATAAAATAGTTAGTTAGATAATCTTATATTTTTATTTAAGGGAAAGAAGAATGTGGGTCATAGAAATTTAATCAATGTCTGCATCAATGGGTAACTTTCTGATGCATCTAATTTTGCCAGTGTTCAAATCTTTTGTTGGTATTGTGTAGTTTTGAGCTTTCTACACTTTCTTCTTATATCACGACTGAGGCGATTTCTTGTACCCGATTTTATTAATTTAAGGTGCAAAAACACATATTATTTGTATACACATTACGTAAAAAACGTTTATAATGCCACGGCAAATTTTTTCAGTGGTTTCGAAGGGAATTCCACTCTGAAAAAAGTATATTTACGTCGTTAATTAACGTCTACAAAATTTTACTTTTCCAAAGGCGTTGTGGGCGGGGAAAACAATAACTGGAAAATAGCATCTAGTTGTTGCATAGCTCTGTACCATCGAGTGTGAACATCTGTAACAAGACACGTTGCGAGAAATGGACAGACTAACTATATTGTTATGTCCCAAACGGTGTAACAGCATTGTTACCAGTATCTTCGTAACGGTACCAAGACGCAGACCGACTGTTTCGAAATTGGTGTTTCCAAAATTACCACACTGCGGCTCCGAAATTCCCTTGCAACCTCCGTGATTACAACACAGGTTAAAAGAAATAAATATTTCAGCTGATATTATTTATGCTCCGGAAAATATGGAATTGACGGCCGGTAATATCCGCTAAGATGTCATGTCATTACAATCACATTCAACGTAACGATGGACTACGTTAATTTATAACGCTAACATCCCAACTACAATCCCAAGGAATACAATTCGATTTGGGTAGAATAGAGAATTGATTGAACATCATGCATTACAGTGATTAGATTTCATTTCATCGTGATGCGGAATAAAGCCATCGCGATAATTTCATAGAATGATTCGCTTGAAACCGACAATAAGTAGTACAATCTGTTATGATGCCAATCTGTTATGATGCTTGTTTTTTCGGACCTCCTGAAGTATGCGCATCAAGATGAAAGATCATCAACCTGAACTCGGGTTGTGTACCAGGTTAGGGTTCAGGTCATGCGACATCTTGGTGCGCATACTTCAGAAGTACCGTTTTTTTCTATTTTTACAATGTGAATTGCAACAACTTCTCGTTGTCGTCACGAAAATACAAATCCGGGAAACGTCACTTTTTTTTATTTTAGTTTATCACGGACTCATTCTTTTGATTATCTTCAACGTCACGCTAAATATCACGTCACGCCGACTAAAACAATTCTTGATTATATTATATTAATTCATCACCGACTTGTCGTATAGTTGTATGCATTAGTTCATGACTTGGCGGGTCACCGAAAACACAGTGGGTAGGCTACTTTGTGACCCGCGGGTCAGTGGTTCGCCATCTATGGCTCTATGCTCCATACTCTGGCTTCAACATGTGATTGATACATGACAAGATTATCATTTGTCCTTCTGATATTTTCGTTATCATTACCCTCAGCGGTTTTAGTTCGAGTTGATACTGTAGTCGTGATTCTAGCAACTATTTTACTCTTGTCATCAGTGGATCACATGTAATTCTTGAGAAGCGGCTTCGTGGTTCTGATTTCAGCAACGCACTTAAATATAAATAGACAATTCACGCAATGAAATTTGAAAGAATATATATATATATATATATCATAAATAAGCATGCGATAACACAGAGCAGAAGAAAATTTTACGGAATCTGTTGCAACTGTGTCTTGCAACAATCAGTTACAGAAAATGTTGTAAAGTAATAATAATGTGAATTGGCGGCATGAAATGTACTTCAATATATTTTTAAAAAGTAAACGTTTGAACGGAGTGTGTTGATATATTTACTACAAAGTTTCAATGTTTTTGCAAAATGTTTCTGGCTCTGCTTAGTCCACATTCTCATGAATAATTTATAATTATAGTAAATTGGTGTTTGTGCAATACTTGATTGTGAGTAAAATTATATTATTTCAGTTGCGCAAATTTATTTACTCAATTTAAATATAACGAAAAACGATTGTGGCAACTGCGCGCACCTTGGCTTTTGACTGTCTATACCGGGGGTGCACAACCTTTTTGCTATTGGCGGCCACATTGCATTTATTTGTATTAAATACGGCCTCCAGGGGGTTGTGCACCGTTGTTCTATACGCTTGAAAATTGAAAAACAGTATTATAGAAGATCAATAATTCGATATAATAAACGGTACACGATTTCGCGGCGTTGGTTAAGTAAAAAAAATATCCGGATTAATTATGCATTCCTATTTATCTGTTTTATACGCTTTTAATAATGCAATTTGGATTTGGACACGTGCCAAAACCAGAATAAATATCGACATCCGAGGGTAAGATTCCGTCAGTTTGAATCAATAGCAATCAATCAAGTCGGATTTATATCTCTACATGCTCGATTAGAACGAGCCCATGTTGCTCTCGTAGATTATTAGGCAAAATCTAATGGACTAGTATGATTGTGAATCATTGAAAATTATCTCATAAAAAGGCGAAGGTTGTCGACAATCATATTTTAAAATGTATGATGCGAATAAAGAAGCGCGGGTGAAAGGGATTTTATGGATTATTCGAAACGGTCGTAACTATCGATTCGAATTCGATAATGGCCATGTCCTATTAAGATGGTTGGAAGATTGTAGAATTGCACCAGAATCCTTAAAATTGGAATAAAATTAAGCATGTGTCCATATGATCAACGTGTGTTCATATGATTACAGTAACTATTGATATTTCAGTGTCACTGGGTCATCCTATTGATAGCTTGTTTTATTTTTCGATCTTATCACTCCAGTCATTACCTCGTTTGGTGAAGTTTTAAGTTGTCAAGTTGAAGGAGCCGTGCTATCATTTGTACACATAAATGTTATGCTGACAATTGCTGCAATGTTTGGAGATCGTTATGTCGCAATCTGTTTTTTTGGGAAGAAATCGTCGTGGTTGAGCATCTGTCATCATGAACCGTACAAAACTATTTTGCTAATTTGGATATACAGGTGGAAGACATATTTTTGCATATTAACTAGATTACATTGGATCCACTTCGCGTGGAAAAATTATATTAGATACCATGCGCAGCATCGTCCATGATGCATATGTTCTATTTCATCCCACCCCGTGGTACATTTTGCATTGGATTCCCATGGAAATGACAATCCAGATTAATAATATTGAATTTCAAAAATGCTATGTATCTGGTGTCCCACCAGAAAATGAATGAATTATATGAAAAGCTATTAGAAAGTGAAAAATATAGAAACCAAGTGTATAGCTATGATGTAATAAAGTTTTTATATGGGAAGTAAGATGTGTACTATGCCATCCTATCCTATCCCGTGGTATTCCCATGAGAAATGACTATCCGACGAACGACAATTGTAATATTGTTATCGTTTTGAAAATGTATTCTAGTGATATAAGAATTATTCGGATATATATACATCTGACCAGAGACATCATATTTTTCACGAGTTTTGACTTCTATATATATCGACTCTCTATCAATTCTATGAACTTTCAACGAATATCTTCTATCTAACTTACAGCGTATTCTGGGCCTTTTGGCCACTAACACCAATTGTGCCAGACTACATATTAGAGACTTCATTACCATGCTGTATGTTCGATCGACAAACAGCCTCTTTCTACAACATCTTCTATCTGGTGGGAATGTCTATCTCAGTTTTAGT